ATTTTATTGCATTCCTGACACAATTCTTTCTAATTGTAGTTTTATTTCAACCTATTTTTACTATTTATTTATTTTTTGACTTCCATGCGAAAAAGCGCATATTGTAACTGTATTCAATTCCTCAATTGAAAACGTCGAATTAAATATTCACGCATCGTACAGTCAAATGAAATTAATTTCCAACATGTGCTGAAAAATGTGCCGATACCGATGAAACGTGCAAAAAAAAAATATATACATTTGCACGCAGCCACGGAATAAACACATTTTACATATTGATGTTGTACATTGTGTTTTCCGTTTCAACAAGTAATTTTTTTTGCAAAATAGAAGAGAAAAAAAAAGTTATATGAAAAGCAATTACAGATTTTTATACCTTGGACACGTGACATCTGCTGCATCCAAATAAAATATCTTAAGTTTTTTTTTTCAATTATATTTCATTTATATTTCTAACATCCCTTAATTAATCACAAAGATCAAAATAAATATTTTCGATATAACGTTTATTTTACTTAGTAAACATTAGTATATTTCGTCTGTGTATATTAACTAAAGTCCTTTTTCAATGCACAAGTTTATTTATTTTTTAATTTACAACATGTAATTCTTAATCGAATATAATACTTGAAAGCTGGATAAAACTATTGAGCTTGTAGCAAAATTTATTAAATAACAAGCGTCGTGCAAAAAAATTCAACCCTGAAGTCCGAAACAAAGAATCAAATTGCATTTACGTCGAAGGGCCGCGCGAATTATGTAACACCAATTATGGTATAATTAATGAATTTTACGAGAACGAGCTAAAACACACTAAAAAAAAAGAAGCAGACACAAGCGAGAGGGATACTCCGTTAGGGTTGCCTTTATGTATGAGGCGAGGAACAAAAAAACCTACAAAAGGGAACACCACAACCTGTTCAAAAACAGTATTGTCCTCCCTTTTTTTTTTTCGCTTGCGTATTTTTTTTGTTCCTTGCTTTTCGGGGGTGGCTGGCTTAGATAGCGAAAAATAACAGTCCGTCATTGGGCGAACGGGTTTAAAACTCGCCTGTTTATTTTAAAGTAATCCCTAATCAGTTTTTGTCAAACGGACTTTGTGATGATGCGTTTTTGTCCTCCCAGCGCGATCCTTTGTGCGACGACCGCGACCGAATAATGAAATTAAAAGGTCCTTAGCGAGGGAGGACCGAAAATAAATAAATGAAGCCTGTGTAAATTGCAGGACGCTCTCAGCGGACCCACAGACGTCCTTTGTCCTGTTTTATATATAAATATATATATAAGCGCTCTCGAAAATATTCTTTCGATTGGAAACGAGGATTAAAATCAGGGGGTTACAAAAAAAAAAGTTTTGGTAGTGCGAAATGGACGAATTGCGTTTGTTCATGTTTCTTCGATTGAATTGTTTCTGGTCGAATTTCGGCCTGTCCGACTGCGCTTCTGGCGGAACGCAATTATTCTGTTGAATGCGAATTAACTTCATTAAAATACTGTGATCGTAATTAATTTACATTAAACTAATTTTGCGTCGCGCAATGCATCAGCGGGAATTCGGGGCGAAAAAATTAAAATGCGAATCAACGTAGCATCGATCTATGGTATGGCAACGTTTTAGTTAAGCCATAATCTAAGTTTCTATCTATAAATATTCGTTTTCATCCTTGGCGACGGCGGTGGTGTTTTTTTTTCGGGTGCTGCGCTTGCGGATTTGTAACTATTAACTCCTGCTGGGAAAGTTGGAGGGAAGACAGGGCTACACACAAGATAAATGCATTATTTCGCCGGAACACGGGGGAAAACTTTTTCCTTCGGACAAAACATATTTGTAAGGATTGCGGCTGCTATGCGATAACGGCGATTTTAATAATTCCCAGAAGGACAAAAGCGATCTCACTGCTGGCTAATAGCACAATGATCACTCTCCCCCATTTGTTTACTCATCACATGATTTATTTACTTAAGCTCCCGGTTGTTCCTTTTTTTTTTTTGATACAAACAAATTTGTTATGAAATCTCGGTACTCCATACACATCATTTTTCGTAATATTTGTTAGATTTCAGTTAAAATGCACTTTGCACAGTGTATTGAATAGTAACAAATTAAAATTTTATAAAATAATACAGAAAATGTTTTATCAATATCAGATTGGATAGTAAATAAGTTAAGAGGATGATGAAGAAGAAGAATAAAGTAGTGAACGGATGGCTTACGATTCACTTGGGATAACATAGGTTAATTACCCATGTTTGAAGATTAGACCGCGAGGTCGGGCCTGGCTTACAATTAACTGCGATGCGGAAATTAGTGTAGCAGTTAATCATTGATGGTAAGAATCGTCCGACGTCTCGGTTAATGAGCGAAATTTCTGTGATCCTCTAGGGGTCGATAAATAATGGAAGGGCATCAGGATACTTCGGCAGCCATGGCCATGCACGCGAATCACTTGCGGTATTTGTATTATTAGCGAGGCTTTCCCGATTTCGATACATCCGGTTTGCATCCGGTGGACAGGATCGATATAATTGCAGAAGGACGAGCGGTCGGTGGCGGCGGTGGCATTGTTCATTACATCACCGGCCGATTCGGTATGCGCACTTTTAAATCGACCAATTGCTATTACCAATCCAACTCCAACATTTCGGCAGCTTCTCCAATGCAATGACCGTCATTGGATGACAGCTGACCGATGCTCGACTTCGCCAATAACATTCCGTTATTAATGTTTATGCCGTGCTGACGTTGCGGTTTCTGCTGTCGGAATTTGTTTAAAGTCGCTCCTCTCCATCCATCTATCCTATCCATGCACCGAGGCTACCCTTTCGAGTTCCTCTCTTCTCCCTCGCCCCCTTGTGCAGCCTGCAGCATCATCGCTCGTCGAGCAAGATGGAAAATTAATTAGACCATATCATATGCAAGTGCAACTTTGCTGAGGCAAAGCTTCGCGAAAACCTACCGGAAGTACACAATTAGCGAACCGGTTACGCAATAACTCTCGTATGCTCTGCGACCGGCGAACTAATTTATGATTGTAGTTGCAGTACAAAGATTGCTTGCGGAATGAATGCTTAGGTCTGCTCTGCTGTTTAATCAGTTTCTGGAGCTGCACGCGGTCATCCGAATAGCCGACCTCGTATTTATGGCAGATCCAATTATTGTTTCGATATGCGAACTAATACCGAAAACACTTTCGTACTACTTCAAAACCACGCATTCCTTCAAACAGTGGCTCGTTACCCAATTCCAAAAAAAATCGTTATGATTTGGGGTCTCCAAATCAGGTTGCGCCTAGGGCCTCACAAAGTCATGATGCGCTACTCCCTTCAAATACAATAACCTACACAAAGAGACCCAAATATATGATCCCTTTAATTGTTTAAATACTATTTATTTAGATTTGTTTTTAAATTTTCTTGAAATGTTACTTGTAGTTTATAATAACAGTATTAAGTTTATATATAGGCTGGTTGCAAGGCATTGAAATGAGAAAATACAAAAAAAAAATTGTAAAATTGATTCGTCGAGGTGCTCTGGAAATCACGAGGACATTGAAAGAATTAATTCCGAGAGGGAAATTCATACATTTAAGTGGAAGGCTTTAGGTGGAGGAAGTTCTTAACTATTTTGCACTTGGCCGCTTTCGCTTCCAAACTTTCATAATACGATTTGCGAACTTTTTTCTCCTTCGTCCGCTCATTTACCGTTTCAATGTTCGCTCATTCATATTTTTTTCTTCGTGCTTGCTTGCCTGACTCCCTGCGTGCTTCCTGGCGAGGGGCGGCAATCTGTTAACAAAATTAAAAATCGCAGGGACGCAGAGGGTGTGCTAGGTGTTATGGGACGGGCAGCGTCGGGAATTTGCCAGTTGCGATTTCGGCTCCTTATTGATCGAATAAAAATTGATAGATCGAGAAGATTATTAAGGGTAAGGCGGCAAAAGGGCGATAGATTATGGGAATGGTAATAGAATGTCGTTGGGGAGTTTCGTTGCCGGCTGTTCGTTACTGGCTCTCCGGGTGCGGAGTGAAGTGGAGTAGAGTAGAGTACCTGGCCTCTAAAAAGGGACGAAGGGCTAAAGGACTGTGCGGCAGTTTTATAAAACTGAAATGCGCATACAGTTCTAAATTTCGCCGAGCCTTGTGTATCGTGAATTATGCTAGGCTTTCAGGAACATAAGGCGTGGGGAAGTGTTTTGCTGGAGTCGTTTATGTGATATAATTCCGCTGCCGAGATTTTCAAAGTTATTTATGTGCAATATAAGGGCTGATTATGCTTTATACACGCCGCCTCCCGTCGCCATCTCCACCACCGCTGCAGACCGAATTTCTTTTACTCAATTACTGGCCGACTAAATATGTTCGCCGAATTAGCTCGCAACATTAAACTTCTCTATCTCCTTCTCCTTCGGGCAACAAACCTCACTATATCAAGCCAATATTTATTCTGCATACCGATCCTGTAGAACCTTTCTCGCCCTCACACCCACAGCCTCATAAATGATAAAGCCCTTTTATCTCTGATAGCTTACATTTGTTTACAAACAAAAGTCATCAATGCGCCAATAAACGTGATCCCTGTTCGGTCACTATTCCATTAGAGACCCGGAAGACTCGCCTACTCCCAGAATGATATACATCCATATGTAAACTGGGTCCATATCGAAACACAAAAGGGACTTGGAGCAACTCTCGAATCCCATCGCAACCGCTTTGCGATATTTCACTTCGTTTTATTCAGTCCTGAACAAACTCGACTACATTTGCTAATAACATTTATTTAAACACACACGATTACATCATTTTTCAATTGATCCTACTTCTAACCGAGAATCGAATGAGCGGAGTCTATATCAGCACTTTGCAGACTCCACTACTTCCGATATCAAAATGCATAAGATTTGTGGGATTTTTTTATGTAAATGCTGAATTTAAAAACTGATTAAAAAATACTATTATTTTGTGAAGTGTTGATTGTTAAAATATTTATTTTTATTTCGCAGGTGGCGAAGCTGCAGTCGTAAAGAGATTTACCGGATTGTATACCGGACCATACTTCGATCCGACTACTACCACCAATATCACTACCCAATTGGGAACTCACGCTTATTTGCCGTGCAAAGTTAAACAGCTCGGCAACAAATCGGTGTCCTGGATCCGTAGACGAGACGCCCATATCTTGACTGTGGACCGCTTCACTTTCATCGCCGACGACCGTTTCCAGGCTTTCCTCGTCGATTCCACCGACACTTGGACTTTGCAAGTCAAATATGTCCAGCCCAGGGATGCCGGACAATACGAATGCCAAGTGAGCACTGAGCCCAAGATGAGCCACTTCATTACCCTCAACGTAGTCGGTAAGTATCAGCTGGAGTATACCCCTCCTGTGAAGCTCTTCAAACGTATTCTCATTTCAGTTCCGAAAATCGAGATCCTCGGCGAATCTGAGATCTACGTAAAGACCGGAAGCACCGTCAGCTTGAAATGCGTTATCACTCAGTCCCTCGAGGAGCCAGCCTACATCTTCTGGTATCATGACGGAAATAGGGTTCTCGAGTTTGACCGCAGCCTGATCAACATCAATATGGAACCGGTTGGAACCGATACCACCGTCAGTACCCTCGTCATCTTCCATGCTCACCCTGAGGACAACGGCAACTACACCTGCAGTCCCTCTAACCTGGATTCCGCTAGCGTTGTTTTACACGTGCTCAATGGTATGAATTCGATGAGCAGCCCTCTCACCATTGATCGTAGATTTATCTTGCTTTAGGCAGCACTTATTCAATGATTCTGTTTTAGGTGAATACCCGGCTGCAATGCAACGTGGCAAGAACTCTGCATCTCCTATCCCAGGATGGTCTCATCTCTCCATGGGTCTTGGATTGGCTGCCTGCACACCGCCAAGATTCGCATTCGCTGTTGCTCTATCTCTTGCCATCCTCTCCCAGCTCTTAGCTACCTAAGTTATCAAACAGCACATGCCACCCATTACAAAAACAACAACAATAGCAAGAACATAATACAACAACACACAACTGGCATAGCTTTGCCACTCCGTCGCGCTTTGGTGGTTTAATTTAACTTCCCTCTGTTACTTTAGATTTTATACGTAACGTAAGAAAAATTGTATTATAGAAGTGGAAAAGGAGTTAAAAAAATCAGATTCGAACATGAAACACTGTTCGAATATTTTTTTTATGATTAGCGATTGCGAGATGAGAGACAGGCTGGATTCTATAATGCAATTTGATATATTTGTTCCGACATTAAATTCCTTTCATTCCTCTTACGTCTACATACTTCAACATGGCAATTAAAAAGTAATAACCTCTCGTTTCAGGAATGTCCCTTTCATATTGTATACCTATCTGTAACTACATAATAATAACTAAAAATTGCATGGTGGATGGTTAAGATGTAAAAAATATATTATTAAATTATATATATACATAAAATATATTATATTTAATCCACTGTTTAACGGAATAAGAAGAGAGCTGTACTAATTTTCCAGCTTTTACTCCTCCAATTCTTTTGTTTGTAAATATTAACAAAACTATATATATATTAACAAAAAAAAACATGAATGGTAACATTCAAATTTGTCCCCAATCCCCACTTATCCCCCCAGTACTTTGAGTGATTAACATTATTTTAATGATTTCAAACATACTAAAAAAAATCTACAACGGACACATTTTATGGTAATAATGTGAATATGTTTAAGCCTAATACTAATACGGTGTGATTAATTAGTTAAGGTAGATAGATTTTAATGTAAAATTAATATCATTCCAGTTGTACTCAAGCATGAATGTGAAGATCAAAAGAGTGGAGTTGAATGAAGCAAATGTAAGAAGCAAAATAAAATAATGTTTTAACTGTCGAACAAGTTTTCACTCAGTGTGCTAATTATGATTTGAGATGTCAATATGCTAAAGATAAAGAACATGTAATGGCGAGCGGATGGCAATGACGAAGGGTAAAAAAGAGGAGACGAACAGGTGCCATTCCTTTCATTTGTGGAGTTTCCTCCCATTTAGTATTCAACTATGGAAATGATGTGTATCTATATATTAATGAAATCATAATTAAGGCAAATATATATGAATCATACTTAATCTGCTATTACTCAAATCCGTGGAAAATAAACGTTAGCAATAGGCAAACTCTTTATTTCATAAACATTTCATTGATGTATTTTAGGTAAGAGCAGAATTGTAACCAATTTATGTTATATATAAAAAAAACAATGGTAAATGAATCGTTAAATAAAGTGTTTCATTCATTATTCTGTGGGACAAAAATGTATGTATTTTATTTGTTTTCTTTACAAACCATCACCCAACCTATCCAACTATTCCAATCTTACAAACTAAAACAAGAATTGCAAATGCAATCATAATGAGATTGTCAACGAAAATTTTCAAATCACAAAGTTATTTTATATAAAGTTAACACTTTTTACAAATCAGACAAACATTTTGTTCGCTAAGAGAACATGAGATTTCATAAAACACAATGCATTAAAATGTTGATTTGGTTGTAAATCATAGATTACTACAATCCACAATAATATAATTTATTTATAACTTGTTTGATATTGTTGTTTGATTATTTATGTGAATTTTGTAAACATTGCCCAACATACATATATATATACAATGTTTTACTTTTATGTGTGTAAATTCGAAAGTTCTAAGTTTTTTTCTGTAAAATTTCACAAAAAAATCGTACAATTCAAGCTACTTCATTATTTGTAGTATTCAATCCAATATTGTTGATGTGTAAGTTATATTTAAATATCTGTAAGAATTATTAAAAATATTTTCAAAAGTTTTGTAAATTAGGTTGCCTATAATACAAAGTACATAATTTTTTTCTTTATATTAATTGTTTATATATAAGATATAAGTTTATAGTTTTTCAAGTATAAATTTATATCTAAATCATTAATAATTCCTTTGCATTTATTATAAAGAGTATGTTTTATATAACTTTATATATTGGTATGCATGTAGCAACATGGCTTCAATGTTCTCAAAGCAAACATAACTAAGCTAATATCAGCTAATATAACTTCAAATGTCAGGACCAATGACAGCTCCGAAACACACGTAATTAAATCTTTGTTATTTGTTATTATTGTTTTACTTTAAATCTTAAAGTATATAAAATATTGTAGATATACTAACATATTTTTTGTGTGTGAATTTAGAGGAATGGAAGAACATCATTTCAATCACAGAGCGCGTAAACGTATCAAGGAAGTCAAAGCTAAAGCTCGCCCAGGTATTGTTGTATTCCTAGTTAATTGCAATGAATTTAAATACATGTTATCTTTTAGAGCTTAGCACGAAGGAATCATGGACTCAGATGGGCTACGCAGATGATTTTGCTGGCTTCTGGGACTTCGAGGACAACTGTGATCGAGTCATTGAGTCCGATTGCAGCATGGCAGATTTTGTTGATAAATATGAGTCTAAGTATAAGCCAGTAGTTATACAAGGATCTCAAGACAATTGGAAAGCCCAGAAAAAATGGACATTGGAAAAGCTTGGCAAAAAATACAGAAACCAGAAATTTAAATGTGGTGAAGACAATGAGGGTTATAGTGTGAAGATGAAAATGAAATATTATATTAACTACATGCTAACTACTAAAGATGATAGTCCACTGTATATATTTGATAGCAACTTTGGTGAGGTACGTTATTTACAATTTGGCTTATCTTATTTTATTCTGACTAAATTATTTTATTCATAGCATCCCAGACGAAGGAAACTGTTAGATAGTTATGAAATACCAACATATTTTCGAGATGATCTCTTCAAGTATTCAGGGGAGAGTCGTAGACCACCTTACAGGTGGTTTGTCATGGGACCCGCACGTTCTGGTACAGGGATTCATATAGATCCATTGGGAACCAGCGCTTGGAATGCCCTTATATCTGGGCACAAAAGGTAAAGAGATAAAATAATTTTGGAATCGTTGATTAACCGATTTATTTAGGTGGTGCCTATTTCCTACACACACTCCCAAAGAACTATTGAAAGTTACTGGAGTACTAGGAGGCAAGCAACGTGACGAGGCTATCACCTGGTTCAACGTAATCTATCCTCGTACCAAATTACCCACTTGGCCCAGTGATTGTCAGCCTATTCAAATCCTGCAGAAACCTGGAGAGACGGTTTTCGTTCCTGGAGGTTGGTGGCACGTCGTCCTCAATTTGGATAACACGATTGCAGTGACTCAAAACTTCTGCAGTAGAGTCAATTTCCCAATAGTCTGGCACAAGACTGCCAGAGGTCGACCAAAGCTCTCGAAAAAATGGCAGAAAATTCTTCAGGAAAATGAACCGGACCTGGCAGAAATCGCTGATCGAATAAATATTGAGAGACCATCTGGTGTGGCTTCGGATAGCTCCAGTAACTCATCTTCGAGCTCGAGTTCGGACTCAGAGAGTTCAAACTCCGAGGACGAAGATAGTGGTCAAGAATCGCTCTCTGCTAAAAAACGCAAGAAGTGCGACAACGAACCCGGGAAGACTTGCAAGATCTCTAAAAGGGAAACCACTAGTTAAATTTATAAATACATACTATTTCTTTTTAACAGTTTTACACCAGAGCTGCGCTCTTATTCCCATAACTTTTGCGTTTCTTTTTTAGATTTCTTTTTATATATGTTTTGTTTTGAAAATGAAGTCATTTATTGTTGTTAACAATTCTCGTTAAACAAAAGAACAAATATTCTTTCATGTTAGGATTTAGTCAAATGCTTATTTTTGTATGATTGATAAAAAAAAATAACAAATATGTATGACCATAAGTATTGTGATTAACTGTGGTTCCTGATGTTAATTACTGAGATTTCATCAGTTATCAATTAAAGAGAAAACATCACTAATAACAGGCAGACACAGAAGCAACAAATACAGGAATTACGATCGTAAAGTAAATAGATATAATATGAGAAAAAATCCTATCAAAGTATTATAAAATATATATAGCCAAGTAGATTTTAGACACGTATATGTTATGTGTGCCTTTGGTCCTACTGAATACAAATACAAAATAAATAAAATTATAGTCAATCCAGTTTCTTCGCTTTATTTATAACAATAGACAAAATATATTCTCTATAAAAAAATGTGCGATTGCAGTAATATTAAATCTGTTCTTGCTGTTCGCCCTTCTTGAACCTGGCTAAGAATTTTCTGCAAAGCTCGAAGCCCATGAAACATGCAGCGTTGGCCGGAAATGCCCTAAGCAGGACCGGTGTTATTCCTTTGTATAAAGCCAATGGACCTTCATTTTTTAGTAAATCTTTGGCAACGTCTCTGATACCGTTCGGGAAACGCCCCTCGGCAGCTGAAAATAAATATTTATCAAGAGTATATTTCCATAATCCATTGGATTGTAAGATTTACTAACCAATTTGCAGTCTACTTTTCAGTACATCAAAAGGCATTCCTATGAGCCAATTAGAAATTCCAGCGCAACCACCGGCGAATAATGTCCCATGGAAGGTAATGTCCTTCTTACCATTGTCAGTGAGATAGTTTCGAATTCCCTCGTAAGTTAAAAAATATAGGCCGCTCGCTGGCACATCTAAACATGAACAACAAAGTGTGTTGTAAAACGAATCTCGTGGAGATAAGATATACAATTTTTAATTCAAACTTGCTGAACACATCCGATAGTAAAAGGAAGTAATGCGCGTTTTGCGGGGGAGGATTTCCTGGTATAATCGGGGCGTTTTGACTTCTATTCGACAGTACAACGAAGCTGTGCATGCCGCAATGTTGCTATACGTATTGTGCTTGCTGTTCTCCACGCAAAGCGTAAGATAATTTAATTCTACCACTAGCATACCGTAACTTCTGATGGTTTTAAGGTTTTCGGATTATGGGACAAGGAAGTGAGGTGTCCGCAGTTGTGCACCTGTCGCTTGGAGCACATCACCGAAACTGCGATCCATCGATTCCTAAATCAGAACGGCGAAGAGGTCAGGCAGTCCGCACCAGAAGTTACAATCCTGGAAAGCAACGACGTATGTGATTCCCTTAAATTATTTTTTTACACGGTAGTTCTTACATAAAAGTTTTAGGTGTTTTATGAAGAAGATGACTTTAACGAATACGACGAGAGTTCCTTCATAAAGAGCGCCACTTGCATCATACAAACGGAAACAGTACCAGAAGAGTTGATCAATGAACTTCCTGAGGAAATAGAATCGTTGTCATTGATACAAGCATCCGATTCGGGTAATAAAACCTTGAAGTTTAGCTACTTTACGAGGTTCCAGGAGTTAAAGATCATCGAACTGCAGAGCGCTCAAAAGTTAACGAAAAATGTGTCGAGTCACTTCCTGTGTGAAATTGATTCAGCACTTGGACAACTGGAGTATTTGAACTTCGAGCGAGTTATTTTGAAACAATCGAAGAATCGGCATACACTCGTAGAGACTGATGGGAACGAACATGTTATTACTTTCGAGTATGTCCAGAAAGTTGAAGGGAGTGTCCATCCGCTCACATTCGTGCAACGTGGAAGAAACAGCAAGATCCTACCTTACAAAACCTATGTGGAAACTCTAAAAAACGAGAACGTCCCGCTATTCAACGGCTTCAGCAATTTAATACTCCTCAGGATCTACGAATGTGAACTACACAACATACATTGGGAAATGTTCGAGGGTCTTCATAACTTAAACACCTTGATTCTAGAGAAGAACAATTTGAGATTCATCCCAGATTTCGCTTTTTACGGTACCACCAATTTAAAATCACTTTCTTTGGCATGGAATGATCTACTAAATATACAAATCACCGATCTGGCAGGTTTATTGGAATTAGAATATTTGGATCTATCGCACAACAATTTCTCTCAATTATCCGAGCTGTCGTTGCCACCATTTCCGAAGCTGAAGCTCGCCAACTTCGCCAACAATCCGATCACTGTTGTTTTTCCAAATACTTTCGAAGTCATGAACACTACAGATTCTTTAGTCTTAGGTGGTTTAGATGAACCGCTCACACTATTAATGAACTCGTTTGTTGGATTGAAGTCACTAAAGACCTTAACGCTACTGCATCTGAACATTCCCTTACTGAAACAAGAGATACTACTTGGAATGTCCAATCTGCGAGTACTTGTTATGACTGGGAATATTCCTGAAATTCAGTACGACGCCTTCATGGAAGTTGGAAAGTTGGAAACTTTGAAGTTGAGCAAATGTAATATTTCAAAAATCTCATTGGACGCATTCGTTGGATTAACAAACCTTCGTCTTTTGGACCTATCAAAAAATAACATAGATTACTTAGCTCCCGGTACTTTCGATGAGGTCAAGAACCTCAAAGAGCTGTATCTGAACGATAACAAATTCACGGCTTTACCTAAAGAGATTTTCATGAAATTTCATCCGCGTTTAATACGATTGAACAATAATCCGTGGCATTGCTCGTGCGAGATGGGTGATTGGAAACCAATGCTAATCAATAGGATCAAGCAGAAATCCATCAAACCTTGTGATTCGCGTCACGACAAAGGCGTTGGTTGCACCTACGAAAACACAGTGTACTACAAATTTATTTACGAAAACAGAGTTGCACCGAAATGTCTGACACCGAAGAAATACGAAAATTGGAGCGTTTTCCATGTCATGCGTAAGCAATTGAAATGCCCAGAATTCAAACCCAAGCTCAAGAAGAAGTCAGGACTTCGAAAAAGATTGAACAAACCAGTTAAAGTGGTAAGCACTGAAGATTCTTCAAGCGTCGAGAATTTGCCTACCGGAGGTGTATCGAATAGTCAACAGCCTCATAAAATGAAGATCCCTAACATTCCACAAAATTTATCAAACGAATTACCGAACTCGCTTGAGATATTAAATTAATCAAAACTCATTTTTGAAAAATGGTTATTATGAACATGTATACTAACAAATTAATAAATAATCAAAAATATATAACTATTTGTTTTAAGCTAATACCTCTCAATAAAGTGGCTCCTGCTCCACGATAGATACTTCTAATTCCACCTTCCTTATACAATTGCTTTGCACAGTCCACAGGACCATTGTACTTCTTTGTCATTGAATCTCCTTGTATCTGCAATAAACATTTGATACGCTCCCCAGGAGCCATAATGGTGGTAGTAAAAATTCCTGAAAATGCTCCGGCAGTAAAGTAATCCATATAGGTGAATTGGCTCTCTTCTGCAGGTCCAATAATTTGCTTGCCAACTTTGTAACCCATGAAAGAAATAGCAAATATGGGAGCAATGCCAACTAATGGGGCACCCATGCCTTTATAAAGTCCCCGAACACCTTCCTTTGACACAGTCTTCTTAATGCAATCAGTCATGCCTGTGTATAGAGGTACTTCACCAGGCTTAGGTATAGGCATTGTTTGAAGGCGCACCTAGAAACGCATATGCATTGTACAAATTAATGATTCCTTTTATTTAATCTGAATTATTTATCAGAACAAGACATTCACTCTATATTTGCTTAAGATAAGTAGTTCATTAGAAAGAAGTGAGTTGGCATGTATTTTTTTTTATTTATACCTTAAGTGTGTCAAAAGGATGACCCACAAGAACGGTGCATATTCCTCCTGCTCCTCCGCATAAGAAATATTCTAGTGGTCCTGTATCTCCCATCTTTTATTCGTTATATTCGATTTAGGTTATAACACACAAACACTTATAGGACTATCGCAGACTTTCATATAACGATGTTTTCGACTTGCATTCACCGTTGTCACGAACATAGATTAGACCGATTTATAAATTTCACTTTCATTTGGACTTTGGTCCTCGACATTCACTTGTCTGGCATGCTGTGTTATATCAATACTAATCTCGTTGTTTGTACATGGATTACTAGCGATTCTCATCACTTATTTTGTAAATAAAAATATAGATTTAGTCTATTTTTAAATATCGGAAACAACATGCAAGTCTGGTAAATATACTAGATTTTTATAGAAAAAATAACGATTTTAATGAAAAAATATTAGAATATAGGCAACCAACTTAGTCCGAACTCGAAAAGTATTTAAAACTTTCTTCAGAAATGAACTTTAAAGTGTTATGGCATCTAATTAAGTGAATATGCTACAACATTTGTTAGGAAAATCCTAACAAAGGTTTGTTTTAAACTAAAGCAAAACGCTGATATATAATTCAAATTTGAAGGCATTTTTCTTTAAAGATATTCAAATATTATCTTTAAAAAAAATATATCTATGGGTGGACTTTTTGACCTATTTATTTAGGAATACTGTTTACACAATGAAAATAAAAATATTACAACTATAAATATTTATATTTGAAGAACAAAAAAAAAAGTAATATTATATGTATATTATACGATCACATTGAGGTAAATATTAATACTATAGTGTCAATATTACAGAAACTAAAAATGTAGGGTATGTACAATAAAACAAAGTATAAACAATACAGGTAAATATAAATTACATTAAAAAAACGTTTCTAAAGCTGGGGAAGGAAAAAAGTTACTAAATCTAGACAAGACAATCACTAAAACACACATCATCATTTTGTTTACAATAAATAGAACATTCATACTACACTTATATTGAAACAAGAATACTTTGTCGTGGAGGACTTCAAAACCAACAAACTTTGTTCTACAAAATCTCCTCTCCTGCAATATTTATACAACTATTAGAGGCCCTAACTAGAGAAAAAATAATAATATCTTAATTTCAAAGAAAACAAAAAACTAATAACTTTACCCTGAAGGACAAGCAATAATATCAACAAATTTATAATGTTTTTTGAATAAAAGTTATATTCAACATTTTAATTCTCTGGTTATATTCATCAACGCTCTTCTTGTATAATATAGAAAATAAAATTACATATTTTAGCTAAAACGTTAAATCTCAAATTTTATGTTTTCTTTATTTTCATTTATCAATAAATATCTCTCTATTTTAATCACCCGAAAAGTAGTATAAATAGAAATTTTTAAGGCAATTCGCGTAGTATGTTACTATTTTGTTCCAGTCTGAAAGACTCGAGTCGATAGCCTACTGTAGTCATATACATGTATTCATTCTAAAATGGTTTAAAAAAATATCATTTCGAAAAGTACAGCCACAGTATCGTCGAACAAAATATCGAAGGCCAAAATATTGCAAATATTTTTCACAGACTCTTTATCCCTTTATATTAATGTTTATTTTTAAACATTATTTTTCTCTTTTTCGAAATAGAAGGGATTTTATTTAGATTCGTGGTCCATTCCCTTCTCCTGGGAGGAAATGTGCATCGAAGAATTAAAATGCCCGCTATGAAAATAGAACTTGTACTATAAACTAAGAACAGTCGAATAGCTTAATTTAGTTTAGGAACTAAAAATACAATTAAAAAAAGTATAACTTATATACAATTGTACCATTGATAGGAAACCCCACAAAATTACATATAATGTGGTTTCAATAAATTAGGAAAAATAAAAACAAAACTTAATAAGAAACGTACCTTTGCTGGATAGTATAGAAAGAGCCGGTTTTTTAGTAATGAGCATTCTGCATTTAAGAATACTGTATTTTAAAGGTATCTAATATCTTTTAGATCTATGGATTTTGAATCACTAACTGCCGGAAATTATTTCCGATTAAATTAAATTAAAGCCCGATGTCTAAATCAAAGTTACTAACAAATAAAAAGAATCAAATAAAACAGTGCTCGCTCTACCCTTTCGGTGTGTCGATAGTAATCGCGTTAATATCGTTCTCGTGATTACTATCAGACCGATCATGGTTCGTCGATCTGGGGTAAGATGAATTGTTTAAATGCAAAAGAGGCGTCAGGGAATTGTTGGTTTCTGCTGGTAAGTAAACTAAGCTCGCCGTTCTCATCGTAGTATTTTTATCCCCAGTATTTGCATCTAGTGGGAAACAAAACTTGTTATGTAAAATTGTAAAGTGAAAAATTATTAGACTTCTCACCGTTGATAATAAATGTGTATTCATCGCCAGGAAGTAAATCGTCGTTACTTCTTTTAGCAGAATCACCGGTTCCGCTATCTTTGCAAGACGAGTGTTCGGAAGTGTTGTCTGCGTGGTATTGGTTTATAATGTTGGCGTCGAAGTCCAGCATAATGGGCACGTTAGGTGGCTGCACGGCGTTGACCGCGTCCATCCTCCGTCTAGTCTGGTAGATGATAACCACCCAGACTACGGAAGTGAACACGGCGCACGCTACTACAGTAATTATAATAATTCCCCATAGATCACTATTCGACATGAACACTGCGAAGAAAAAAAAATAATAACAATAATATAAATAAAAAGTCATGGGTCTTTCTGCCCTAAGAAAAAATATATTCCAATTTATACAATTTTTTTACCAGGTTTCACGTTGACTTTGCAGGATCCCGTTTCGATTCCCAGCGAATTGTTCAACCTACAACTGTAGTCACCTCCGTCGCTTAATACTGTATCAACGATGATCATCATCTGTTCTTCAGCTGTAAAGAAATGCCTTTCGGTGATGACTATGGGAAGACCATCTTTGTACCAGCAGATGCTGGGCTTCGGAGCCCCGCTTGCGTAACAGTGGATTACTACGGTTTCCCCGAGGGCGACTTCCTTATTCTCCATTGGCTTTACAAATGAGGGCTTCTCTTCTATACTCAATGTCGCATTTGCAACGATTTTGCCGGCGGCGTTTTTGGCCGTGCAACTGTAGACGCCCATGTCCGAAGGCTTGGCGTTCATAATAAAAAAGACATCGTCTGCTGGCATAACTTGCATCCTCCGCTCTCTGGCTGCAGGGAAATCGTTTCCGCCGTCTTTTTGCCAGGCTATTTCAGGTTGCGGCTCACCGGATGCCGAGCAATCCAATCTGGCAGTTGTTCCAGCTCGCACGGTTATATTGCTCGGCATTGTATTGAACGTAGGATAAACTGGAATGGAAGCAGTTAGGTTAGCAATTCAGGATTGAATATGTATTCATTATCAATAATTACTTAGAACAGATATTTGTGTTTTTTGCGAGTAAGTGGTACCGTAGCTGTTGGAGACGACGCACTGGTATTTCCCGGCATCCGAATGCTGAATTCTAGTTATGTTAAAGAAAGACACAGTTTGCCTATTTTTACCAACGCTCGATGTAATAACCGACGCGTCGGAGTTCTGCAATTCCAGATTATCCTTTTTCCATTGAAAAAGCATAGAGACTGACGACGTCGCCGTGCAGCTCAAGGAAATATCCGCTCCTTTGAGAGCTATGATTTGCGGTTGAAACACGTTGTTAATGACCGGAGTCAGTCCATCCGCTGGAAGAGAATAAATCAATGGTTTCGCCAATTGCAAGTACCTAAATTACCTACCGCAAGTTAAATTGCTTGATGGAACTTTCAGCAACTGCTGACCACGCAACCAATCGGGATAGGCACAAATGGTGGAAGCTTCAAGTCTCTTCAACTTGAGATACTCGTAAAACCAAAGTAAATTACAATCACATAATAGTGAATTGGTGTTCAATAATAACTCCTAAATTATATAAAAGATTAACTTCATAAAAAACAATGGAATTTTTTCCAACTCACTTTCAATGAAAGCATCTCGGCAAAAGCGTTCTCCTTTATAGCAGTAATATTATTGTCCTTCAAGTCCAAATAAGTCACTTTGTGTAAACCAGTGAAGGCCTTATTGTTAATAGACTTAATGTCATTAGAAGCAATGTGGAATTTAACCAAATTCGTAAGGCCACTAAAAACACCCTGAGCATCCTCAATAGTCCATGAAATTTTGTTATTACTTAGATTACTAAAGAGAATACAAATATAATTAGAAATAGAAAAGATTAGAAAAATCGATTAAAGCTCACAGTATCTTCAGATTTTGGGTGTGATAGAAAGCGTTTTCCTCAATAAAAGTAATATTGTTGTTGGAGAGTAAAAGAGTATGCAACTTGCTCAAATCTTTGAAGGTGTCCCTTTCAATTGAATTCAGCAGATTGAATGCTAAGTCCCTATTAAAGGCAATTTAAATTAATCTGAACACAACAGTCCTTGATGGATGGAAATACTTACAGCTCCTCTAAGTCCTTACAGAACTCCCAAGCATCATTATCAATTGTCTGTATTGCATTATGTGATAGAGACAATTCCTTTAAATTATCTAAACCATAGAGCCAACTCTTTTCAATGACTTGAACTAAATTGAAGTCCAAAGCTCTATAAACAAAATAAATTAAGAGCGTGTTCATAAGAGAATGCTTTAACTACATACAATGAATGTATCTTAGTCAGTCCAAAGAATGTACCATCTTTCAGGTACTTAATGCGGTTCCTCCTGAGTTTTAAAGCAGAAACCAGCTCCAATTGCTGGAAACTCAAGGGTTCAATACTGTCTAACACATTTCGATTGATTTCTCTAAATAATAATAAAAAAAAACGCATTACAATGGTGAAAACTCATTAAAGTAAATATTTAATCTCACAATATTTTTAGGCGCTTCATGTTTTTGAATGTGTCTTTCACCAATGACTGAATCTTGTTCTTGTTTAATTTCAATTCAATGATTTGATTCAGGTTTCTCCAAGCATCTCCAGTTAAATTCTTAATAGTATTATTATTAAGATTCCTGTAAAGAAAAGAAAACGTTGTTCAGGAAAACCTGTTACACAATAGGTGGTTCTTATCAATGGGAAGTCAGTTCCAAATATATTTATAATACTGAACGATTTGGCCCATGGCAAATGTCAACAAAGTCTATATAAGATCATGTTTACTCCAGAATTTGAGGTCATCATCCCGATAAAAAAAAATGAACGGAATCGCGAGACGACAAATGCTTATTTTATTAAAGGGTTTCATAAATAAAAAAGATTCTGGACAATTCAGCCTTCTGGTTTAAAGTCGTGCTAATCGAATACTAGAGGTTGTGAGGTAGAATCATTGTCTAGTGATAAGAGGAATCGGGTTGAGATGAACAGGTGTACAGACAGGAATGTAAACAATAAGTTCTTACAATTTCCTTGTCCATGTTGGGATGTTATCCGGTATAGCATCTAGATTTCTGCTAGCGCAGTCGACGTAGTCACCCAGGTGGATGCATACCGATGGTACATCTTTGGACACTAGGGCTTCGCTCTTCCACGAACAAAACAATATCACTATTATCATATATGAAACACCCACCATTTTGGTGCAAAAAAAAAACTATATAACAAAACCGATCTCCGTTATCCGTAAGAGGGTGATCCATTCAAATTTAAAGACGGTATCATTTTGCATCACTTATTTTAGGGTTGTCTCTATCGATTGGACACTGTTCAACCCTTTTTATTTACACTATTTACCACAATATTATCGAAATAATAACATACTGATACACTCAGATCAACACTGCCGACGCCATTACGGTTTACAGCGACTTCCAAAGCTATTGTCCATTCCTGGTACTACCAGCTTCCGGACTGAAAGATGGCGCTACTAGTACTAAAGCAAGGATTAATGTTTCACTAGGTTTTATGAGGATTCCATTACTGGGTGGACAACTCTACATATTAGAAGCAATACCATGACTATGGTTTCATTTTACTATTCAGTAATTTAATCAAAGCATTAAAATAAGCATTCTTATATATATAATATATTTATTAATTACTTAAAGCTTTACAATATGATAGTTGAGATCATTCTTTAATCTTTAACGTAAGAACTTAGAACAATTTTAAAACAATAATTAAAATTTAATTGTCTGTAGCATGTTTTTAAATTCAGTATTTCAATCGTGACATTAAATTACTACTTTGTAATACATACATTTTTTTTATCTTAATTTTATAATGTTTAAAGTTAATTAAACACGTGGATATAGAACTACAGAAATTTATAGTAACGGAAACCAAATAAGTTTATGCCTTAAAATAATATATCTAAGAAACTTTCTAATAGTGTTTACCCGTATTTTTATTAATTAAATTAATAATTATTAATTAATTATTTCATAATATAAAACAGGAATTGCGTTTTACACATATCTGATTTGTCGTCCTTGTGTATATACGCATCAACATCTCTGGCTCCCAAAATGATTCAATTCCTTGGACTTTGAATCATAAATAATTGCCAGAGTAAAAGAGACAACAGTAAAGTTCAATGTCTCTGAGAAATCATCGAACAATTTGTTGAGTTTCTTTAGACTTTCGGACTTTTGACTCCTTCGCAGTGTCAGTCTTCAGTTTCACTCCAAGAGAAATCTATTTATTTTTTTAAGCAAAACCAACGTATTTCCATTTTTTGTCCATGACAATTAACGGTACATTGAGTGCGGAAGTCAACCGAAATACAAGAATGGTGCATCCGGTATAATACGATAACATTATTTTGTATTGGCTAAACATTTTTTGATGAACATTGCATATCTTGTTTTAGTTGACCTTAGGATGCACTTGAAGGCTGTGCGAAATCGATTCCCAAACGATTTGTTCCGGCTTCTGGGTGGCAGACGTCGAGGTAAGCATCGATCTCGTGGGTGGCTTCGAAATTCTGGTAAATAAACACGACCGATGATCCCGCTGCCTTCAGAGAATGATTACAGATAACGATCATTTGCATGTTAGACACAACACGGCGTATATAATATTTATGTTTACGTTCTGAATATAAATATCGGTGAATGCTGAAATACGCGTCGGCCGTTCGCATTCCGCACTTTGGACGGGAGGAATTACATCACGGAATCTCCGCGCGTTTGGGCGATTTAAAGGTCGGGATTGCGAGATCAAAGGTCGTGCGACATGTCTAGCCATGTTTGGAGTTCCTCCGATCTTCATTCTTTCTCCACGCTGGTTTCAGGAATGAAAAACTGGAATAGTACCGGAATGTGGTTCAGGTTCCGTCACCTCAATTGGGATTCCACCAGCACCGCAAATTTTTACATTTTCGTCACAAGGTTCCAACATTGTAATATTTGTTGCAAAACGCAGCCACGCAACGCTATGTTCTTTTACCGTTGCAAATATCTTTCGAGAAAAAAATGATGATTGTTTCTATACACAAGAGTATAAGGTTTATACTAAACCTGTTGGTAACCATAAAACGAACGGACCGAAGCCTTTCAAGTAAGACTGGATTTACAGATAATATCATTTTATACCAACGATTCACTAATATAAGATTAGCTAGTATCTGCAGTATAGCGCACATAACATAAAAAGACAAAACAAGTAAATTATGTAATTAAAAAAAAATAAACAAAAATATCTTTGTTTTGAATTTAATTACACATTTTTTTAAAATTCAATTTAGTAAAGTAAATTATTAAAATTATTCGGAAAAAAGTTTTCTTAAAAATTGTAATAGATTGAATTTATTTCCACAATTTTATACAATCTGTGTACAATTGTTTTAATCAGGCAGATTGTATTCAAAGTGTATACATTTTATTTGTAAATGGGGCACAATTTTATAATAATTTGCATCCAATCAATAAAATCTATTGTAGGTGCATGACGGCACATACTGTATCGCTCACAGCGTGTTTAATTAGTAAACAGTTTTAAAAGCAGCGCTAATTTATTGACTATTTGCTAATGAAAATATTCCGCAATTGTACGTGATCGGCAATGGGTTTTTTAATTTACTTATCGTTCTTCCTCGCAGTTCAAATGTTTATATTTTCCTTATAATACAAGTGTATTTTTGTTTGTCGTTTTAATGGGAACATAAACGGACATTTCAAATGATTACGTTAATTGATCCTTTTTTTTATCGCTGCTTTACTTTTGAAAACCAATTAAGCTAAAATGTAACACAAAAATATAATAAATAAGTAACGATTTTTTTGAAACAATTTAAGTAAATTGAAATGTGTTTATTTCTTTCTTGACGTAATTACCATGTAAGAATATTTGCTCATTTGTACTAAAAATAAATAGACGGTGGTAATATGTTTCCAGTAAAACAAACTTAAATGACGTAAAGTAGAGAAAAAACAAACGGCTAAATAACCGTGTAAAATGTTTTCTTGCTTATAATATTAATACTGGTTTCGTTGCGTGCGTAATAAATCGATATTTCAATTTATTTATTATTTAATCGATAAGTTTCATAGAATATATGTAGCAACATTTATTGCTTTACTGTAATGTTCTTTGTCAATCTGTATTATTTGTCCTTGATTCCTTTTAAGTTTAAATTACAAAACAAATTGAATATTAATAAATATTACCGAATTCTTCGGACTATAAGACGCATTTAGAGACGATTTATTGAAAAAAATATTTTAATGTTACCTTCCGACCATAAGACGTACCAAAATTTGAGTCCATTTTTCTAAGTGTAAACGAAATGTTTTCTCGTCTTTACTTAGCAGTCTTATAGTCCGAAAAATATGGTAATAATGTAAATTTTGGAAACTTTTTTAATTTACGAATTTTCTAGAGTTTAAAATGTACATATTTTCGCTTTATCTGATTACAAAATCATTTATACATATATTTTTTTCAATATTGTACGTGAATTACCAGTTTTATTTTTTAGTAATATACATTTTTTAAATCAACTATTTTTTTGTGCTCTAATCATTATAATAATAGAGTATCTAAATTAATTAAAATTTCATAATTAATTAGTCTTTAAGTTGTGTATTTAATAATGCTGAATCAGTAACTTTTTTCTTAATAAAATGTGCTTTTCTGACAGTCTGGTACAGAAAATAATCAAGAACCTAATGCAAATAATACGCGTTTTTGTATTCATTTACACGAAATGAAAAGTGTTCTGACCTAATTTTCAAACATAAATATGCGTGATCCACAAATATCTGTAGTTTCGAAGGACGTCGATGTGCATGTTTTTGTGTATGATGATTTTAAGAAAATCATTAAAAAAAATGAAGTAAAATAAAGACATCCTGTCGAGTTTCTTTGCGAAGTCGAAGTCCTCGGAAGCGAATTCCCAACGACTTTCACCCATTTGCCTTTTATTTCATTTCATTTTATTGTTTTACTACTTTCGCTAATTTTGGGTCACAGTCGAAGCTGAAGTTATTGTGTCGAGATCAAAAGTCGAAAGCCCCACGGAATCTCTCGTGAACACTTGATTGAGTGTAAAAAGATACATTAAATCCTTATTTGTTTCCTGACATCAAGTGTCCACTTATCGTTTTATCAGACGTTATCATTGCACTTCAAAAATCATTTGGTATATTTATAATAATAGCTTAACGGAGATGGACACTTTGATTGGTTTTAAGATGAAAGTGAAAAAAGGCTTCTTTTCTTTATGTTTATGAATTTGCAATGGTTTTATTGGAAGCGATCGAAATAGCTGGTGTTTCAAGAAATGCTTTTTATTGGGATTCTATGATGAAATTAGTAAACTAGCCACATGAATCACGCATGTCACTGACATGCGGTCCCTGCATGCTATTTGTAAACAGCTTCTTATCAACGAGCTTACATTTTAGACAGATTCATAGATATTTGCTTGGTTTCTTTTTTGAAGCTTGTTCAATCTATTTTTATTCGACTTCAAGGAATGAGGAATAGTAACACGTCAAATATTGTATACGTTAAAAACTAAATAACGATAATACTGGAAAAGATATTGTATGCAAATTCTTATGGCCACTAAAAATTTTAACATTGTTAACAATATATTTCTGAATCATTTCTATCATAATAATTTTTCGAAAATTGATTAAATTTGAAGTGTTTACTATTATATATTTTTTTTGGTTGCGTTAATTAGCTTGAACAATTAAAACGAATTACACATAAACGAGTCTTAAGACTTGTTATAAACTAGTTATGTTTTACGTCTGATTGACGTAAATAAATAGTAGTGTCACTGAATTCACAGATGATGTTTAATTATTTAACTAATTGTGGATAGTTTGACACATAAATACAACATAAGATGCATCGCTTAATGATTTACACCATTCGTTTGGAATAACACTTCGGTCTCGGCTTAATTGCCGAACAAACCCTTAATAATTTATAACGCGTCACCTGTAACTCCATCAAATTTCCCCAAGAACTTTCTAGCTCGCCTACAACTATTGATTTTACTTGATGGAAGGTTGTATAAATATATAATTCATAGTTCGTTCCTTCTGCTGCGCATTACATACATCATATCGTTTAAATATAACATTCGGACATTGCGTGTTTCAGCTCCGGTTACTTAACTTCTTCTTCTGAGCAAAAATTGAAAGCAAAATAAAGAAACGCACACAGCTCACCTCTGACCTCGAAAATTACATGAATTTCGGACGAGTGCCGTTTCATCCTCATTAGAGTAATATGATCCGGTTTCATGCAGTTCCTTCGATTTTTTTTCTATAATCGAAATCACTCCAGACACTTTAATTAAGCAATCAATTAATGCGCTGTGTGTACTTTTTCGAATAATAATGATATGTGTGTTTTGCCTTCTTTTCTGATAGCGAATCTGCTGATCGTTACACTGAAATTCTGTTTTTTTTATACAATATGCACATTATTCTATGTGTTCATTTGCAAGTGATATGCGCGTGCTGAATGTGTGCAATGATTGAACAAAAAAATATGTATGCGATATCTAACTGCACAATGAACATTCAAATGAATGTAGGTTCAAAGTAGAGAAAATGTAAATTTTGCTCCAAGGTTCTGGTTCGATGAAAATAAATTGAGTTAGTAGTAATATCAATAATATTACTGAAGATCGATTTTTTTTCTTACATTAACTTTTTAGTTATGTACAAATCTTACATAAAAATACAATAGTCGGTCTATTGTAGATATGTAGGCTCTTGTTAAAGTAAATGTATGCCTCAATTGTTGCTCTTCAGTTATGTATTAATGATGAAACATACAGAAAGATTTATATCATTATTTTCAAAACTTTGCAGATTATACTAAAAACTTTTCAACAATGATATCCTTCTAATATTAAGTTAAACTAACCTAATCCGTAATCCTTAACCTATCCCTAATTATTTAATCCCCAATCCTAGATCTTTAATACCTACACTAACCTTTTTTTGTGGAGGAGTGGAACCTGAGTACAAAACGCGCAACCTTCAAAAAGGGCAATTAAAAATAAAATTGTAATACTCATATATTTAGAATTTCTGCATTACTGTACATATCTATTGTCCAATCTCTCAATGACGAATAATATGAATGACTTTGAAATTGCAGTACTTGTTTTTTTTCTAATTGTAGTACATTTCATTAACTTTCTTTCGTCTATTCAATCTTGCACACCAATCTTGGACATTTGCTTCAAGTTCCTTAATTACGTCGGTATTTTCGTTGACGATAAGCAAATTGCGGTCAATTATCGTTAATTGAGGTTCCGTGATAAAAGTTGACCAACGTCAATGAAAAAGCAATGAAATGCTATTCGGTTAATAACCGAAAAACGGATCTGCGGACTCGGAAATCAAAATGAAAACTTTCAAAATTCTATTTTTGACGACTAGGACAGCGACAGAATTGAAAAAGGCATTTTGTCGCCACCGATATTATTATTATGATATATTTGTGCGTTATATAATGATACAGATACAAAGAAAAGAAAATCCGGCAGCAGCAATGGCGTGTTGTCCCATTCCCTGCAATTACACTCGTACGAGATCTTCTACTAATGTGTCGTGTCGCAAGTAATTTGTTATGTCGAGTCTCTACTACTGGAGCAACATCTGATTATTATTTTTAGGTTTAATTGTGTAATACCTCTAATGTCGTTAAATGAATGTTATTTCAAGGTCATATCAATAGTAACGGAATGTTGTTTCGCTGCAACAATTGATGCAATCTTGGTGATTACACTGGGATTATAACTGATAAAACTCTAACCGCTTGGTATTTATTAAAAAGGAAAATAATAAAATTATTTTTTGTTTATTATTGCAGTATAAATGTTGATGTATTGGAAACTAACTAATATGATCAGGGTGGTCTTGTTGCTGCAATGTTTTTATGTTTATTTATAATTTGATGCCGATATGAATGGCATGGAATTCATAATACTCTTACCGTTGTCGTATGTTTATTATAATTGTTTTCTATGCGATTTACGTGCCGATCGCGCTGATTACGCCAATTTGGCGAGGGGGGCCATTCGTGTTGCAAACTCATTGGATTTGCCGTCGGTGTATTAACCTTGGAAGCCACGATGACGCGACCGCCGAAAATGAGGTCGCATACCAGTTAACATCTCGACAAATTAAAACATACATGAAAGAAGCAGATAAAACATACGAAAATCATGAATGAGGAACAAGTTGAGCTCAGCTCGCCAATTCGGAGACAAGAAAGTGCCACTTTCGAACTCATACTTTGCTCGTCTCGGTTCCATTGGGGTGAAAGGTGCTAAGGCAAATTATTTACGCATTGTATATTTTTGTTTCCATAATTTCTCTAAATTTTTTACTTTATTTACAAATGGAATTGCTGCCCAAGCTATTACAATTTTATAAGCTTCTATTACCTAAAGTACTTTCTTAACAATTTTTTTTATTAATATTCTTTTCGGAACCTGAAAGCGGACCCCGTGGAATTGAAAAATAGGTGCCGTGTATTACATAATTTAATTTAACTTTAATATAATCCCTAAAACATTCGAATATCATCATAACTCAGTAAACAAAATATATACTTATGTTCGTTTATATAAAAAATAAAATAAATAAATGAAGAAAAAAAAAACAACAAATAAGTAGAGAACTTAGAAGTGAGCAAATCATCGAGAATTGAAGATTTTTGGGATATTGCCTATAGAATTAGACTTACACCTCCAGGTATAAGAATAGTCACTGGTCACCAGAGTAGTGACGAGAACAGAAAATTAAATAATGCCTAACAATATTTCTTTTATATATAATTATCTATACACATTCACTCGCAAAAAAAAATAAAATAAAAAAATATAATATTAACGATCACACATCACAGATTTTCATGAAATATTGACTCATCAAATTGAACTGCCTATGTCGTGTTGGTAGCGGGTGGTGAGATATTGTGCGGCATCGGTGAGTTGCCTCAGAGATTTGGTCAGTCCGTGGAGATGCCTCCGGAAATTCTGAGCAACAACCTGAGTTCTGTCGCTGACCTGAGGGGGTTCTTCGATACCGGAGTCGTTCTCATTGCCGATCTCGCTGTCGGAATCGCTGATGCTCGATGTCGAGGAGTTGGTCGAGGAGACACTCACAGTGGATGGCCTTCTGATGTGACCCTTCGGCGCTGCAAGTGTCGTCTGTGGAGCGACTTCCTTCACAACCTTCTCCTCTTCCTCAGGGCATTGCCCTTGTCCCCAAAGCAAATCAGCTTTGACGGTATTCAGCATGTTGTACATATCAAATAGATCAGCAGAATTAAGGATGCTGCTGATATTAGTCTTCTGCTTGGGCCCAGTGGTCGGATCCTGCTCATCACCAACTTTCAGGTCCATCAGACGACATGGTACGAGTATGGTTTCGTCCATAGTATTGACGCTCTTCACAAATTTCTCCATGGCGTTGAGGATACTTTGGTTCGAGAACTCGGTGTCGTCGTTCCTGGCGATGCGCTTCAAACAATTCCTTTAAACAACACATAGATTATTAAATATTGTTGAATTATCGATCAAAACAAATGAAGAAATATTTAAATAGTACGGAATTGAAAAGGACGCCGTTGACTAATTCGTGAGCTTGGAACTCCCAAGGTTCGTGTCAGCTGATGTAACAACTCTTACACTTTTCGTATGGAAAAGAAAATTATATTGCACTATGTGTGACACACTTATACATTGCATAATTACACATACATTATATTTCGTTTGGCGTTAAAATTTGATAATTAATTTTGGTTGTTGCAAGTGGCCGAAATTTTCTATGTACATGTTAGCTACTTGTGACGCTTTCACCCAATAACTACAGCTAATCCTCTAATTCACACAGTACGTGATTTCCTTTGATATTTACCTGCTGTTCTCCATGCTGGTGGTGATGTTCTCTGTGTAACTGCTCATCTTGATCGATTGGATGTAGAGAAAATCCTCAGTGTTTTAGATTTTTTGTTGGTATAAAAACTTCAAGTTTACCACTGAAGAACTGAACAACCGATACGAAACAGATACCAGTACGCCGCAGTCGAACTGAACGGCTTTTACCCACAAGCAGATAGTTTTATGAGAGGCGGTAAGGGGTGGGGATTCGGGTGCGGCGATCACCAATCGGACACACGCTCGGCTCGTGATACTACAAATATACTATATAAATAAAATGTCGAAAATTAACAGAAGGCACCTAATTGAAATAGCCAGGCACACTCCTGATGATAACCAGTCGCCCCCTTATCGCTGCTTCACTATGTACCTACTCCCACTGCTCCCTTGGCTTGGTACACTGGTTCAAAGCCACGATCAATACCTCCCGACACATTCACTCTAAATTTAGCGCACAACTTTCCGACGAACACTAATCTAGACCATCGTCGGTCAGGCCATAATTCCCAGTTCCCATTGGCCCGCAACACGCCACTCTTGCACCATTGGAGAGCGCAACCCTCACCTGATCCCAATTTCCACCGCGAATTTCAAATCTTCTTCGTCCCCAATCGAAGAGCATAACCAACCAAAACAACAACAACAACAACCATAGACATATTTATTAAACAATACATTACTTATTTTTCATCAATATAATTCATTATTCGCAATTGTACTTCAATAACAATTGCAAATGCTATTGTTTTTATGTTAATATTATTTAATAACTAGCACAGTTTACTTTTATATAATTTTTTTTTGTTCTAATAAGAAAATAAAATATCTTAGGTTTTTACTCTAACATGTTTGAATAATTGATTTCTTTGCACATAACCCATTCGTTCGACCATGCTTTACTCTGGTCAATAACCCTTTAGTATTAACTAAAATTTCTTTTGACGCAATCAATACAATTCTACTCTACACATTTATTGTTAACCGTTAATCTTTAACAGTTAAATTAATATTAACTTATTTAACTTAAGATTTAAACGTTAACTTTTGAAGAATGGAAAGCGCATTAGAACGTTAACTAAATCTTTAAAAAAAAAACATAAGTTACTTTCAAAGAAAGTATTTGAACAATTGAATTAAGAATCTTTACGTAACATCAAGATTGAAAATGTGAAAAAAATAAAATTTTATTTAAAATAAATAAATTTTGAAATGTTGTTCATTTAAAGCGATCAAGTATTAAAATAAGCTGAATTTTAAGTTGTTTTCGATCAATTGAATTAATTATTGTTACAGGAAATGTAGCACAACATACGTAAATTCGCTGTGCTTTGAACTGTTTCTATCGTCATGTAAAACAAAAAAAATCAAAGTTCATATGCGATTCACGGAAAATTCTATTCAATTAAAATATGATTGTGAAAAACAAAATCTAATTTACACGTGTTGAATTGGTTTAATAAGGGATACTTGGATAATTGTACAAATACTTACAAAAAAATTAACATTTTTTTACTTAATTATGTTTTTTGAATTACGTGATCATAGTGTAATGATTTCAGTATTTATCAAATAATTAAATAGGCTACAAGTATTATAAAAATGTGTAAACACATCTCGTATACACAACAAGATACTTGAAATGTAATTGATAAATTCTATAATTATTTGTTACTATCCACGGGATATTTAGCTACTTACACAATTACTTTGAAAAATTTTATTAATGGGTATCATTGTATAAAGCATTTAATAAATATTGGACTTTATGAAACTTTATGTGCAACATTCGAATGTCGTACATGTATTGTAAATACCAATTACTAGCCGCAGTCCTTATCAAGCAAATTATATATTTTTTTACAGTCTTCATTGTTTCACCTCTAATTGGTTTTGCCCAATTAAACAAACTATTGATTATGAAATGACATAACACGGACAAAATAAAATTTGCGCGTTTTTCAAATTTAACTGCAAAACATATATAATATTTGGTTTTCTTATTTGCAAATTGATTTCATAATCGTAAAGCAAGAGTGAGAGAGAGAGAGAGAGAATAAACATTATTTCACTCATAGTTTATCATTTGAATTGCATAATTTGAAACTGGTTTTCAGTGGTGTTACAATGTTTTTATTATTAATATTAGCAAACATTTTTATCTGCTCGCTGTTTCCGCTTTGCGTCACGTGTTTACTGAATGTTTTCAGTTTTTAGAAGAGAACTAGGAAGCTATAAAAAATATATATATATATAAAATAATGTAAAGCAGTTCTTCCAGTTAGAACCTCAACGGTCATGTAACATACTTAAACACGAATCTTAAAATTGAAATAGATTATATAATTCAGTTTGTTACTGTAAATGAATTACGCGATTCACTGTATGTAATAATTGCGATTCCTACTCTCGATATTAATTGTCGACAATTAGATTCAGCAGTTTCTCTAAATGTGACTGTTTAATGTTGTTCTGACTTGTGTCTCGAATGTGAAACCGTAATTGCGGTCGCAATTACGTTCTGCGAACAAGAAAGAAGTGACAGATGCAAACACATTTTAATCATAATCATTTTCGCTTATATCTGCCATTTTAATGCCTGCTTTATGGAAAGCAACTAAACCAGGTACTTCTTTCGTGGGATACACGCCAGGCCAGCAGATAAACTGCTATTGCTATGTTAATTGCTATTGCGTTCTTGCAGGCAATTGCTGCTTGTTCTTTTCGTTTGACGTCAGGCGATCCGTCGCTGTGCATACCTAGTTTATCATTATTTTCATGGATCCCATCGATTACCATTGAACGATTCTTAATTAGTTTGTGTTTCCCTACGACTATAACATCACGTACAAAGAAGTTAGAAACAAACAATTAAACTCGAACGCAATTATAGAACAATTGATACCACAAAGCAGGTTATAGTTATGAATTGTCAACAAATTTCATTCAGAAACTAGCGAGCTTACAAAGTACTCTCACATTTTACATACTATTTATAGTAGTTTATAAACACTGGGAACACATCCAACATGTATAGAATTTATATACAAAATGTCAGAACTGAGACTACATCTTAATGTTGGAATACAAATAATTATTGCACCGAATGAAAATAACGATTAAAACAAGATCACTTTCTCTTTCTTATATATTTGTGTAAGGTAATTATTAGGAAAGTTAACTTTAGCAACCGAATTGAGTATTCGATAATTATAAAGTTGCTAACTTCCACCAGTATTTATGAAATCATTTGCATGGTAATCCTAAAGATTCGATATATTAGATTCCCAGTGTGAGATTTTCCTTCCGTCACAAGCCGTCAGCAATACTAAATGTTTTATTCTTTAAACTATTTGTTTAATGTCTGTACAAGTTCGTTTTTCTATTATTAAATATTTAACACCATTTGCGTAGTTACAGGTAAACTTCCTGCGGCGATTGCAAATTGTTTTCATTTCTTTGTTTCTCCTGAATATATAAAAGTAAATATAAAAAAAATTATGTATGTAGTCAGGTGTCAAATATCGAAGTCGCATGGAAATTAGCGAATTGACTACGCAAATATTTGCGTAGACTGTGCAAGTACATCGTTTGTTTAGGAAATCTTTATTTTTCCTTTTGTTCCACGAGGTTTTTCCTTCTCAGCATCATTTCTTTTTTTATTCTCACTTGGCAATCTCAGAGACATTATTTTTAGATTCGCATGTCTAATGTTAAGTTATTAGGCGCTTCCATTGAATTTCAGCTGACTTTTACCATTGATGACGTTGCTACATCTGTTATTATTTTATTTTAAGCCCGATGGTACACGAACCTGATTGTTTATACTGGCAATGTCATTCACATAATTATTTCATGTTTACACAGTTCTTCTACTACCTTAGTTTTGTAATATAAGTATACCAAACTCAAGAGAATTGACAGACAACTGGTATTGAAATATTTACAATCTCATTGACTACTTCTCGTCAATATAATATACTCAAAACTGTAAACGGTGTTGAAAATTTGTTATGTCAAATTTCAATCCTATTTCAAAACATAATAATTTTATAACCTACAGTTATGATAGAATAATAATAATAAAAGACGGAATGAGTATTTCCAGGAAGTTATGCCACAATATAATTATGATTATTGGGTATTAAAAAAAAGGGTCATCGTCGACCCCAGTTTATGGTGCAGGTAAACTTTGGTTGGTGCAGTGGACACAATTTTCGTAATAATCACAGGAAAGAGATTAAAATATTCATAAATTATATTTCTGTCGGCAGACTATATTCAATGGTAATGGGAGGTCTATTATAACAATTAGGGCCCTTTGAACCCGAAAGTTCATCAAATAACAATAGTTTTTTGTTCGGCATGAATTCCTCCATAAATTACGGTCAATGCAAGGCGAGTGATAATGAAGCTTGCAGTCGTCCGGTCAGAATCGGATAAGTGGTAAATGAAGATGCGAGAGCGACGAAGAAGGAAAAAAAGTAAAAAGTTAGTAATAATAATAATGATGAAGCAAAGGAAGAGATGCAAGCATTTTGGATCTGGTGATCGTACGGACCAATGGGAGTTGGCCAATTTCAACGACCGCCGACACTAAATTCCGTAAGTGCGGTCGCATGACACACCGACTAATTCACCAAAGGGATTACATAATGAAAGCCGATTTGCTGCGTGCGGCAGCAACATAAACAAACCAAAGGTTTTTGATCAATTGGACATCCCACGCACAGATCGATTTGGAGAGGTCCGCGTTGCCACTCTTCAACGATCATTTGATTTAGACATGTATAAAAAAAAATCATAATACGTTTAGGAAAATTCGTAAATTTTCTATTATTATTTACATTTATTAAATAATAAACCTACAATTCGTAATGTCAAAAAATAAATATAATCTCTCTGAATATTGATCTAAAGCAAATATTCATGAATTACATTTTTCTCCTATCGATTTTCCAATATCACGCATTACCAGCAGGTTTTCCCCCAGAAAACCCTTTCCATAAACATTCGTAAACGAAACCTAAAAAAAAACTACTAGAAAGATCAATTGCATAACGCTTTGTTATTCTTTGGCACTTGCAACATAATAGCTTTCTATTTTGTCATGATTCCAAAGTACATTTATCAAATGAACGATTTTTGCAAAATATAAAAAATATTTCTCATTTAATTTCCAAATTATAGTTCATTAATAAATTATATATTTACATAATTATTACAAAAAATTACTTATAATTCGATAAATTATACAAATAAAATTGCATACTCATGTTATATGATATACACTTTTTTTTAATATTTATCTATAGAATATATGAATAGCAAACTGGCAGTAAAAAAGTTAGTAGAAAATGGGAAATCGGACTGTTAAAAAATACATCAATTTAATAATGTTAAAAAATCGATAAAAAAATGAATTTTTATTAGTAACTTTATGATGGAAAATAGAGAACATTTTATAACAAACGCTTAGAATTTTAATGTCGCTAACCGAGAAAAACAAAACGATTTGACCGGAAAAAGAAGTCAGATATCGATAGAGCTAATAGGTTATTTGGGTAATATGATAATATAAAACGAGCATGGATTTGCATTAGAATCTATTAATTGATTATTATAATAACACGTATTCTTTTTTAGAAAGGAAATTACAAATTCTAATTAATTATTTTTGTCACGGAATAATAATTTGTTTGGTATTTATGACTTTTTTTTGTAAAGATAAATCATGTAAATTTATTTAGTTGAATGTTGAATGAACTGAAAAGTAGTTCTAAGAAGTATAATCAAAATTTCATTATGCACTGAAATCTAGTTTCAGAAATGAGACAATTGCATTCAATTATTCAATTTATATCAATTGGTTATCTTTGAGCGTAGAATAATGTTTCATTTAGACTACAAGATCTTCCATATGATTATACATAATATAGTTTACTTAAATTGAATCAATGAGAAACAAAATGTAGATACAATTTATATCAATTAAATACGTCTCTTATAGCTTATTATTGAGCTCAAGAAGAATGTTTTTTTTGTAGATACTTTAGAAGTCCAAAGCAGTTTATGCGCATATCAAATGAAAACAAGAAAACTATTATCTAAATGTCACTTCTATGGGAATGCTGCTATCCACGTCCGAGTCAAAAATAGATGATCAGATCGGTATGCGTGATATATTCGCACAAGCTTGGATCAATCTCGTTGTTCATCATAAACACACCGTGGTCATTTAACAGATGCGTAGGTTTTGTGAATCGTGTGCATATATACATAGCAATGACATTCATAATCAAGTACTGAAATATTGTCAATTTAAAGTTAGAAGGCTCATCAATCTCGTCAACGTCCTGAAATCGATCCTTTTCGCTTGACCCAACCCCACTGCTGTCCACCATTGATGCATAATCCACAGTACTCTATTATTAACTGAACATACAGTTTTTAAACGTCATATGTTTCATCATTTCTGCGTACTCATTTTAATCAACCTTCCAAGACAACAACGAATTGCGACTCTAGAAGTCTAAGTTATTCTGAAGTGGGCCTTGAAACAAGTTCATGAACATGTAATGCTGGAATTGCTTGCAAATAATATAAATGTTATTGTAATAATGTCTTAGAAACATGAAAGTTTTAGTACTTAACTGCCACCGTAATATTACTAATCTTTGTGACCGCTATTGTAGCAAGTGCGTAAGTTAAATATTTTATTGCTATTAAGAAGTTCTTTGCAAATTTTATCAGAATCGTATGATTATAAATAAATAATGATAAAGAAATTTGTTGCAGTAGCAAAAAAACAAATTTGGATGTTTCCTAATCTGTTGATGTTTTTGAAACGTAGTAAAAACAAAAACATTATTTCTTGTTTTGTTTCGAGTGTTGACTAATACGTATATCATATTGATTGTTAACGAGAGGTTGTTAACATTATTTTGTTCCATTGTGAAAAACCCTATATTTATTGATCGTGTCCCTATGGTAATCCGCTGAGGTCGTAGTAATTTTTACGAGAAGTATTTAAAACTTTAATTTGCACTTGTAGCGACATCTAGACTTTTTAACTGTATATTAACATCGAGTCTTTAATTAAAATGTAAAAAAAATAAACTTTATAAAAGTAAGAATGTTTGAATCAACCAGGTGAAATAAAAGAAAAAGCAATTTCTGTATTTGTGTTTTTAATAAAATGAGGGGACATTATTCGTCAGGCAAATGAAAACATTGGAGATGTACACAGATATATAACAACACCAAACCACAATAAAAATGTTCAAATTAAGTCTATATTTGTAGATATCTAACAGAAGCCTTCAAATTCAAGGGTTACGTATAATTTTGGATTATATAAGGTGCGGGAGTATTGAATGGATTTGGGTTGTGTTCTCGGTTTCATATAAAAAAAATTCCTTTATTTTCTAGATTGTTTTAAGGAACATTACATAAAAAAATAATAATTAAGTTACTTTAAAATACACACAATAGTTACCATATCTTGTTTTTTTTTTGTTGTTGCAAGTTTGCTTCTCGGGTTTCAGAATTTTAAAAATTTTCAGTAGCTGGTCAACTATAAACGAACATTTATATAGATATTTATATATATATATAATAACCGAAAACTAACAATAAAACGATGGGTTAATAAAAACTGAATGAGAGAAGAAAACAATCTAAGACGATGTTACAACAAAATCTAGGAAATAAGGAAAATTTTCAATCACAATACATTTGCTTGCAAAATTTCTTCCTCTGAGTAATATTTTCTTTTATATAGTTTTTGTTTCAAATATGCCTCGTCTTTTGTTTTACTTGTTATTAATACCTTTTTTTGTGTTTAGTATCTTTCATCCTTCGTTTATTTCCTAATCTTATAACTTAAAGTCTTTTTATAATAATTATTCTTTTGCCTAAATTATGCGATAAATAATTTCCCTTTTTTTTTAATAATATTTTTAATCTTAACGTTTATAAAACAACCTATTAATTAAGTTATATATTAATTACATATAAAGTTGGAGTCAGTTCAATAATAGTTAGAAAATCGTTATTTTCCTTATTTATTTATATTTTTTTTTTGTTTGTATTAAGTTTGTTGATTTTGTTTTAAGTTTAAAGTTTTTAAAAATACATCGCATGTTGCATTTTGAGCAAAAATTTTTAGAATATTGAATGAGATTTCTTCTTCTTTTTGGTTTGGTTTCCATTTACACTAAACAAAACAACATTGTATCAAATGCAACACTTAGTAGATATAATTTGTATGTTTGGTTTGTTTGTTTGTTGTTATCCTTACATTGAACACCAATTTTAAAATGTAAAATTAAATATATAACACCGCAACATATTTATTCACCCCACAAAACGGGGAGTTATATAAAGCACACACCAATTATTACCTATATACAAGAAGATTTAGAATATCGGATATTGAGCTGCTTATACATATATGTTACATATACATATAATATTTAGATTTTTTTCTAAAACAAATTGAAAGAACCAAACGTCGTAAGTACGTTTCTCCTGTTTCATTTTTTTTTAAATAATTTAACACTTCATGAACGACGTCAGTGGCGCGTTATATCCTGGCCAACGTTTCAAATTCGGGTTCAGCTGAGGAGCCTATATCACCAGTACCTGAATATGCCAGGAAACGATGGTCGGACACAAGACGATTGCCTCGAGATAGCTCCCAAACACAGTATGTGCGAGTATAGATACAAAATATAAATGCTTCAAGATTCGTTTAGGAAGTGTTAAAGAGAGGTAGAATTATTTTGTTCTACATCCGCTCAGATCATGAGGTAAATAAATATGTCATTTCGATTCGCATTAGCACACGATATTACACAACAATATTGCCTCATCATTCTCCCATTTTGTTTTAATAAAAGATTGTCACTTGTAAATATATATAATATAATATTTTTTTTTTTCTCGAAAAATATGTCTCACGTATTCACACTGCTAGCAAGTAGTTTCAAGTATAGGACAACGGCATGTGCTTAGACATGTTGAAATATTACCATTACAAGCGGGCAAAGATCTCGTTTTCAGTGGAGGAAGGGGTCTGGTTTGTGGAGAGTTTTGAGCACTGTTGCACTGTCGTTCCAAGATTCCAGTAAGAATATGCAATGGTGATTGGTTCAGGTTGTTGGTCGTCTGCACAGTGGGTCGGCACTCGGTCCTACCCACTGCTATAGGCTAGAACAGCTTCTCTCCGGGAGAGCTGGAAGTACCGGAACTAACAGTGCAATCTTCCCCGATCAGCTGATGTCAGTTGACCAACTCCACGTTCACAAATTGCTTCAGTCTCTCGAAATACGCGGGAAACAACTCCACGTCATTATGTCCAGCGCCCTACGATAATAAAAAAACATTATTTCACTATAGATACACCCTGTACACCTAGAATTCACTCACCTCAACCCAAAGGGGTTCCACGGCCCGAGGACATCTCTCGAATATGGTACGACCATGTGTAAAGTCTATAATCTCATCTTCTGTTCCATGGATCAACAGAGTCGGCGAAGTCACCTTCGGAATCTTTTCAATACTAAAAAAATAACCGTTTAATTTTAAAGTTAATACATAATATACGCATATTAAAATATATAATTCAAGTGGCAGTACTTGCTAACTGTCTTGACCTTTGTCACGGTTAAGCGTTTATTATTGTACGCAATACTAGTATGTTGTTATTATTATTGTTTGGGTTTCTTGTGAAACCTTGAGTTGGTCAAGGAACTCTTTGTTCAACATTGTTTAAATCTTTTGTTTCAAAAATGAAAATATAACAAATCACAATTACTGGGTCTGTTAACCAGATCACGTTTCAAGTAGAAATGTTTATTATAAATTAAAAGTATGTTAAATATTCCAGGAAGTCTATTTTCGTAATCTGAATCTTATGAATTTACTTATCTAAATACTAGTGATGAAGATTCATATAAAACAAAGCCCAATCTTATAATGATTATCAAACAGGAATGCAATGTACTCAGTAATTCTGATAAAATCGCTAATGATCGATTCGGATAAAAAAAAAGCTTCTTAGAAAATGCGTCATTCGGATCGGGATGCTACGGATCAATAAAATGGTATGCATTACTAATCCAAAGTAAATGATTTCCTTTCCATTATGTTACGTAAAACCTTGTGGGGGTTGACGCGTGTTTTTTTTTTTGTATATATTTCCTCTCTATTGTGCAGACTCATTCGAAAATTTCAACTCGCTTCTGTTGTGTACAAAATAGGTCAATGTTATGAACAGAGCGATCGTAGGTTGAGAAAGGCGGAACTAGAGAGAAATATTAACAAGTCTTTCACTTCTTCACCGGATTATTGATTCATATATTGATTAATCATTAGATCTCAAGAGCGATTTTAAATTTTCTCTGTTAAAAGCGCTAAAAATGATGTTTGGTGTATCATTTACGCAACGGAATATTGATTCGTAAAAAGTAAACAGGAATTAGATATAATGAGAAAATGTAACAATTATGTGACCTCGCGTTTGTGTGTATTTTCGTATCTCGGATGAATATTTGAAGGGAATATACACCTCGCTTTTATCACTCGCTCATATTATTTAGTTTAATCAAATATAACAAAAAGTACATTATCTATCTGCCATGCTAATAATAATTTTATCTTGTGTGTGCATGCATGAACAATAAAATTTTCGATGAGCACAAAGAATATTTTGCAACTTTACATTTTTTTATATACAATGAGACCTAATTAAATAGCATGATTGTCAATTAATTTTTGTGACACATCATTTGTTGATTATGAATATCAATATTGTACTCATTATTTATTACCTGGGGAATACATCGAAGAACCAAGTCCTCTTGGTTTTGGGGAATGCCACTCTCATACCAGACATGAGTGGAGAGTGCAGGATCACAGCACCAACCTCATATCGGGAAGCCAGATCTACTGTAGGCACAGTGCCAATACTCTGCCCATAGAGGATTATGTTCTCGGGGCTGATGCCATAGCGAGTCCTTAGAGCTAACCAGGCTGCATCAATGTCAGCGTAGAGGTTCTTCTCAGATGGCTTGCCACCGCTAAGTCCATAGCCAGAGTAGTCATAACCAAATACATTGCAGTTTATACTAGAGCCTAAGTTTAGATAAAAGGTGCTCATCTGGCCTAAATCGACGGCGTTTCCATGTGAGAACAGAATGGTGAATCTGGCAGTGGAGCTGCATCGGACGAAAACACAGGCGATTTTGTTGCCGCGGCTAGTTCTGGTGTAGAAACCTTCTACGTTTTCCTTCTCCCTTTCGGAGAACTGCCATTCGGCCCTTTCTGAAAGTGTCAGTGAGTATTTGCCGCTTCCATCGGCGAGGAAGTCGTATGTGGGCTCTGGTGGTATGAAAGCCAATTTGGCTGCGATCCTGCTCGGACAGGGAGGACAACAGAGCAAGCAACACCACTCACTAATACTCAGACCATTCATCTTCACTACGTTTAATTCAACTACGGCTGCGAAACTAACGTTTTTTCTAATAAATAACCACTAAACAAAACTTTTCAGCAACTACAATAAAACGCGACGTCCATTGTTACAAGCGCCATTTTATTTTGTGAACCTTCAAAAACTTTCAGTGCTGCCACTGTTCGAATACTAAAAAGAGTTGCTAGAACTGCACACCTTTTATACTTGACCAATATCCACCAATATCAATCTATTGTTTACATACCTATACAATGCACAATTCATAATCAACGCATTTTTGCGCTATTAATCGTCCTTTATCAATTATTTACATTTTACTCATACCTTAATTATCAATAAAACAATTCTTTGCTCAAACAACTTTTAAAGTCAAATAAACAGCAATAAACATTTAAACTACTTTAAACAATAGGAAGGATATCAAATGTTTACCTTCTATTTATGGTTCTATCACAAATTACTAAAGCATAACATTTTCTCTTTAAAATATTATAAATTAACGCTAGCTTCGTTATGCATTTTTGTCCTTATCAAATATTCCCATTTACGACTATTCATTCATTATGAATCAGTATCAAAAAATGTTTTATCATCAAAACGTTACAATTCAATTGCTTCCATACACAAAATACAATTCAATTTGCAATATGGTTGTGTCAAAAAACAAAATAATTATCTACTGAATAAATAATCAATAAATAAAACAATAATCTTTTATTAATAGCAATTAATAAAATTTTCCTGTCTTTTGTTTTATTTTCCTAAATAACATTGATTTAGTAAAACAGCCTAAACAACATAAAAATTTAACAGTCAGCCACTTGAGTCACAAGAATTATTATCCTTGAGAGTAAAGCATATTCACCGTCTACTCGGAGAAATCTCTTAAGTGACTCATAGAAAGTAACTGCTTAAAAAGTGTACCAACGATGATTCCCCAACCTAAGAAGAATGGTTGTTTTGTTCTAACTCACTATAATTACATAATAATATTTGTCTATGTGTAACATAATCTTTGCTCTAATTTGTATTAATATAATTGCATTCCCATATATCCAACTTATGCAAGTATCATATGCATTTGAATTGAGTCATCCGCATTACCATCATCATTCGTCTCATAAAAAAAAGATTACGTATTAACTAATCTGCATGTAACCTTGAAAGAGCAATAAATTCTTCGTCAGAGATGCAGAAGTTTAGATGAGTCATAAAGTAAATATATCTGTTTGTAGTTATTTAAGATCTCTGTGATAAGATTTCGAAAACTGGGTATTACAGTTTATAAATAGCAATTACAAATCATATCATATAAACAACATTTATTATAATAACATTCTGTAAAACTATCAATTGAAACATAAAAAAAACATTTAAATATTACATTACAAAATAAAGTATCATACATTTAGCAGCATAATTAAAAAATAGTTAATAAAATATTCTATTTAAACAGTTAAAAAATATCTATTGGACTATTTGGTATTGGTATGACACAATGTTTTCAAAAATTTTAGGTGTAATACTGAGAAATGGAATAAATTCCACATGGAATATTGGCTATGTAGATGTGACTCCTTTTCGTGCCACCAGCAAATTGAGTACAGGATGCTTCTGGACATAGCTGACTGCTTTCTTATGGGTAACCATAGTAAAATCATATCCATTGCATTGCAAAATCTTATCATGAACCCTCAATCCACTTCTAGAAGCTGGACTGGACTCATGAACTTCAGTCACATAGATGCCCTACCAAGAGATTAAAATGATTAAATGTTCATTTCTCATATTCAGCTTACATTATCTGTATATCCTTGTGGACTTTTCCAGCAGTCCTGGTCAATGCCTCCACCAATTTTGAAGCCACAGATGAGTTTGTCTCCTTCAACTTCCTTGTGGAGTGTGATGGGAATCTTAAGATAAATAGAGTTGTAGTTACAGCAATTATTAACAATGTTTTTTTTGTACTTACACACAAGCATTCCATAGCAGTGCCTGCTTGATGCTGAAATGCCATTTTAGCCATGACTGCTGCGTTTAATTAGTTTGTTTACTTTTACGAAAAATAACAAACTGAAGATATTTCCAAGCTGGCAGCTTCTTTATTGATATTGATGTCAGCGCGACTATATATTATAAAGAACCGTTGTTCCTCAAGTAGTGGTAGTTTGGTTTACTACTTCAGATCTTGTTGCTTGCCAGATTTTACTTGATGCAATACAAACAATAATAAAGCTGATTGTTAGATCACGCTCTACTCCAAACTGGTTTTGAGATCATTTATCGGACTTGCGCCATATCCAAACACCATCCATGATATAGCAACAGGCGCGCACGCGGAGAACACCCACTGATCTCACTGTAGTTAGGTTGTCAGAGTGCAAGAGAAATTTGTTCTTGTGTTTATACATATTCAGTGATATTCCATCTGCGTTTTGGTTTCTACGTTTTAACAAATATTTTTAAATCATAACTATATATAACAATTTTATATACACGTTACGGAAAGCAACGTAAGGTTAATTAAGGGCGAGACAAGCTGAAAAGCGATTATTACAATTAAACATATAAATTAGTGAATTACCTACAAAGAGAAATATAAACAGCAATCATGGCTAAAATGGCATTTCAACATCAAGCAGGAACTGCAATGGAATGCTTGAGTGTAAGTAATAAGTTTTATGAATATCGAACAACTTACTCATTGATTACTCATCACAGATTCCAATTACATTGCACAAAGATGTAGATGGAGAAAACCTTATTTGTGGATTCAAAATAGGTGGTGGCATAGACCAGGATTGTAGGAAGAGTCCTCAAGGATACACAGATAATGTAAGTAATATGGATAACCATTGAAGTTGATTTAATTAGTTTTTTATTTTGTAGGGAATTTATGTGACTGAGGTTCATGATTCAAGCCCAGCATCTAGAAGTGGCCTTCGGGTGCATGACAAAATATTGCAGTGCAATGGCTATGATTTTACAATGGTTACCCATAAGAAGGCTGTTAGCTATGTGCAAAAACACACTGTACTTAATTTACTTGTAGCCCGTAAAGGAGTCACATCAACTTAAATATAAGTTTATATACAAACATTACAAAAGACATTCCATGACCCAAGTTTTCAGTATTAGAAATGATTGTGTCATAGTTACCAAATATTCCAATATGTGCACCATGTGTGTTTTAGCGCTTCATGTTTACTGTTTCTTTACAAATTGTTCAAAAATAAATGTTTTACAGATCATTAAAGGCTATATACTATTTTAGGAGAATATAAAAAAAAGTAAATAGTCTAATCAATGAGGAATGTAATAAAGCCATTGTATTGTGTATGTGATTTATGGTTATGAACATTATTTAGAAAAATATATAGTATACAGCATAAATAAGCCAAAAAAAAAAGAACATTTGTCTGTTCAGGCAATTTGCTGACCAAATATTACAAATAAAATGTTATATGACCAAATGCATTTTTCATTTCTATTTACTTCATATTTTCCAAATTAACTTTTATCTTTTGATTGTGCTTATCTCCATAGATAGATTTTTTCTATGTAGATGTACTCGATATAATGTTTTTCTCAATAGTCGCCGATTAAATTACGTTGTAAACATGGCTCTGCGTTGGGGAATCGCCTCAGCTGGAAAAATTTCCAATGATTTCGTGTGTGCTTTGCAGACATTACCCGATAAAAATCATGAAGTCGTTGCAGTGGCAGCGAGATCTTTGGAAACGGCCAAGGTATTTTCAGAAAAGTTAAACATTCCTCAAGCTATTGAGGGTTACGAAAGCTTGGCAAAATGCGAGAACATAGGTAACCTAAATATGAAGTTAATTAATATTATTGTATAATTTATTTTAGACATTGTTTATGTCGGTGTTATAAATACGGGTCATTTTGAGGTGAGTAAAATGATGCTGCAACATGGTAAACATGTTCTTTGCGAGAAACCTCTGACTCTTAATCGGAAGCAAAGCCAAGAACTGGTAGCATTTGCTAAGGAGAAGAAGTTGTTTCTTATGGAAGCAGTTTGGTCTCGCTGTTTCCCAATTTATAAAAAACTTAGGGAAACTCTGGACTCAGGAATAATCGGCGATGTGAAATACGTAAACGCATGTTTCGGTTTCCCCATTGCAGAAGTTCCAAGATTGAAGTTAATATTATATATGTTATGTATTATGCAATTTATAATTCATCAATTGTAGCACGAAAGAACTTGGCGGTGGAACCATTCTAGATTTGGGCGTGTACACTTTGCAATTCTGTCAGTTCGTATTCAAAGGGTTAAAACCGACAAAGTTTCTGGGATCCGGGTATTTGAATGTAAATAATGTCGATGAATCTGCAAACGCAATTATTCAATATCCTGGAAAGGCTACTGCAGTAATTTCGACTACTTCTGTAGCTACTTTCTCTAACGAAGCAACCATTATAGGAACAAAGGGTGCAATCAAAGTAAGTCTTCGAAATTAAAGAATTTCTTTACATATATAGGTATTTCTTCTTTTAATAATAACGACTTAAGTTACAAAACTAAAGACTTTTAAATAAGTTAAAAACTTCATTTTCTAGTGTAGCTTTATATATAATTTTATCTTTTTCGAATATCTTTAGATTCCAATGTTTTGGTGCCCAACTAAGATGGAAATTAACGACGAGACTTTCGAGTTCGAGTTACCCAAAAGTCAAGCAGAGTTTAACTTCTTCCATAGCACCGGTCTTTCTTACGAGGCCGAAGAATGTAGGCGTTGCATAAAAGACGGGCTGCTTGAAAGTCCTCACATGTCTCATGAAGAGAGTTTAGGGCTATCCGAGTTGATGGATATGTGGAGGAAAAATGTTGGGGTAGTCTTTGAACAAGATCTATAATTTTGTCAACGTTTTCAGATCTTATGGTAAAAAATAAAGAAAAGGTTATTAAAAAAAGATAGATACATAAATATTACAGAAAATAGCACATTTCCTCTATAGACATATATGTATGTATACGTATAATTTTGTCTTTCCTTTTGAAAAGATATACACATTTGTTATAAATTCATCTTAGAATTGCTCACGGAACGAAAATAATTATAATTACAGCTTAACATCAACACTTCTATAAAGGGAACATCCCAATAGTTTAACTTTGATCCATGAGGAAACAATCATGGTGCCCGCTGTTATCTTTTTGAATAGATTCAAATATCGGTTGAAGGTCTGGAGAGTTTTTGATCTGTGTGAGAAATTCGCTGAGGTATGGATTTTTGTCTGAAAGAAAACAAGAGACCCATGTCCAATGGGATTAATGAAACTCAACTTGATCATGTATGCTATCTAACCTGCGTCTGGAATAGTAAGAAGAGCTGAAACGGCTCGCATTGCAGATCTCTTCAGTTCATCCTGTTTCTCGTACTCCTGCTTCACAGAGTTCGCTTTGACTTTGGTGGTGCAAGTAACTCGCAAAGGTTCTACTAGTTTGTCTAATCTTTGCAAGACTGCACCAGGGCAGATCTGAGATAACCTTGCGGTCATTAAGTATGTCAACATCTTAATATCATAGTGGTCCTTCAAGCCATTTTCAACTTGGTTAAGAAATTCGAAAATATCAATACGGTCGACGCATGAGTCCAATAAAGTATACATGCACTCGAACGCTGCCTTTCGTATATCCAGACCATCGTCGACTGTGTGCTTGAACGGCCCCATTTCTACCTCTCGTATCAACTCTTTCTGTAAAATCCATCCACAATGTATAACATAATTTTAAAAAATATGAGAGATTACTTACCTTCACTTTGGTTTCACTGTAAAGCTGAGGTAAGATCGAATCCAATAAATCTCTGATCAAAGATGGCTTATTATGAGCTGCTGAGTTGAATGCCACTAATGCTACTCTTCTAACATTCAAGTCAGGATCTTGAAGCGTATTTAGGAATTGACCAATACACTGACGCAGTAAAGAATCGATTGGCTGCGGCTAAAATTTTCAACAGACAATTAAAATGCACAACTTTCAAGATTTGTTTGTTGTAGCTCACTTGATCAGAAATTGTGAATTTCACAGCAGTGACTACTGTGGTTCTCATTAAAGGTGATGGTGAATTAAGACTCTCCTTTAGTTTACCCAACAGATGTGCTGGGTCAATCAAGGTAAGCTTGCCCAAGCATTCTGCTACAACATTCCTTGAACCTTCCTCTTTGCATTCGCAATGCTTGAACAATTGCTTCCAAATTGGTGGCACATATGGAAGTAATTGCCTGACACCATCAGTTGTTGATGATAAACATGTGATAATCTAAAGCAATTAAAATATAATATTATATACATTTCATATTAAATAGATTTTCTTACTTCTTTAAGAGAATGTAACAATAGATATTGTCTCTTGGGTTGATTCTGAATTTCTTTCAGAATTATGGGTAAATATTGTCTTAAATTGCCAATAGAAATACTTCCTAGAGCATAGCTAGCTGCTGTTTTGACCTCCTCAGATATATTATAAAAAGACGCAATTATCTCTTGTTCCAAATGGCCAATAGATGTTAAATCACTAAAATCATCAAATATTATAAGCATCTACAAATAATCATTAAATGAAACATACATATTACGACCAATTTCACCAATAATCAGCAAGCAAAAGATATGTTCGCTATCAGTTTTGCTGCGCTTAATGTCGTTTACAAATTTATTAACAACAGGTAAAGCCATATTCGGGCAAATTGCAGTGATAGCAGCAACACATTTAGCCATAGAATAATAAGCTTGTTTATGAACAAACTGGTTGCCACTAGTGTGAATGATAGGGTTCAGCAGAAGAAGCAACACTTCATCGTAACCAATGCTTGGAATTTGGCACTGAACAAGTGCTTGGAAGAATTCCAACATAGAAGTCAATGCGGCACCTATAAATTAAGTATTAATAAATAAATAAGAAATCATTGAAAATGGACGAACCTTGTAAAAGGGGTGACTTTAACAGTACAAGTATCTCGGTCATGATGGTAGTATTAATGTCATAGAGTGCCTTCGGGTGATTTTCAGCGATAGATTTCAAAATCACTAGAGTCCATTGTGCAATATGCAAGTCAGATTCATCCAACAATGGTGGCAATTCAACTATAACATGTGACAACAACTCTGGATTCAAGTTGTGCTGATAGTTCTTTATTAAGCAATCGATAAGCGATAAAGTGCTAAGCTTCAGCGCCCTTTGATTCTTCCTCAGAAATGATCCCAAAATTGGTATAGCTTCATTCTAAGATCACAAATAAATTAATAATGAACATAGTATATAGTTGCAATTTACATACTATAATTGGTAGGTTAATTCCTAGCGGAGAACCTGCAATTTTGGTGAGAGCCTTTACTGCAGTTAAACGCGTGATTTCATTCCTCAATCTATCCAAGAACAAGGGCAAACAGGTGGGTAATTCCTTTCGTAGGAAATCGCCCAAATTGCAGATGATCTGTCCCATTGTGGAGATTGCTCTCTCCTTAACTTCTTGGTCAATGTCAGTAGCCTTCAGGCGAACTAACGTGCAGTTGTATATATCATTTGTGAATGGAGTAAAGTTAAAACTAGAGGGGGCTGTTAATGGCCTGATCACCTTAACCATCTCTTGTAATACATTTAAAGCCTCTGCAGTGATCTTGTAAAAGCTATCACCCACAGCTGAAATCACCGGTGGTAATATAACAGCAATATATGGATGAAAAACTGGCGGTTGATGAGTTGTTAAAAGGCAGTAAATAAATGAGAGCGCATCAATTTTCATGTTACTGCTCGAGTTTTTCTCGCCCAAGGAATACTGTATTCCGGGTACTAATTCGCCAATCTGAAAGCATGAAAATCATATATGGTAGTCAATTAATGGATAACGTTAAACGTACTTGTTGTGTTAGAGCGCCTGGTAGTACAGCACATAGTTCTTTAAGTAAATTGAAACAATCTTGTCTAGTTTTGACAGACTTCTCCTTCATCTGTACGCTCACACTTTTGACAATTGATGGTACTTGTTGTTGTAACAAAGAGACAGGAGTCTCCTGTTCCATGGAATCAGGATCAATGTTAACATTTATAGAAGTTTTCGTTTGCTTCAAAAGAGCGATGTATGCATGGAAAATGTCGGATTTTACATTCTCTTCTCTCTCTGAAAATACAACTCGCTAAAGCTCTCAATTTTATTTTATTTTTTATAAATATACCTTTGAATCTGACAATCATAGCAGGCGATAAAGTTTTGTAAAACTCTGGGAGCAATTCGTGCCTGCTCGTGATGATTCCTTCTAAACATTTAGCGGCGGACCTGCGAACTTTCCAGCTCATGTCATCATCGTCGCTATATTCATCATTTTCATCATCGTCATCTTCATCATCTTGCTCGGCATCCATAACGCCCTCATTTTCATCGTCATCATCGTAGTTGTAGTTCGGATCGTAAGTTATATATTTCAAACATAATCCTGTTACCTATATTTTTTAACAATTGAAATTACTAGTGTTTAGTATATAGTGAGAATACCTACAGTTTGAATGTGATGGGTGATCTCCTTAGGACATCTGTTTACAAATGACTCAAACGCTTGCAAGCAGAACTCCCTGAGCTCATCATCATCAAGATTTATATATTTCATTATCAACTCAACAAATATTTCGATATGTTCTCCAAATCTGTGGCCCGATTGACGGCTAAAAAAACATTATTGTAATAATTAAATTACCTCTAATTGTTGATCATATTTACCATACGGAAGCGACGCATTGGATGTATGTTCTGATCTGCGTGTGATTTGTCTCAGTACTTAAACCGTTCTTCAAATGTTCAATAAGTTTATGGTATAATGATGTATTGCAGGATAGCACAAAGTTGCTTAAAGCCATAATCGTACGCTTCCTGACCGCCTGTCTCGGCGATGTTAATTGCGGCAATAAAGCGCTGAGAATAGCTGCATGAAATGAAGATAAAACATTTCCAAACCTCGCCAAAAGATCGGCGACTATATCTAAAGCTTCCAATTGGACAGAAACGTCTTCTTGCTAAAATTTACAAACTTTAATAATTAAAAGGCCAAAAATTAAATATGTGATATTACTCTTTCTATTGCTGTAGTTAGACGTGATGTTATATGTTTGCAGATATTTCCAGACAATCCACCAGGTGCTTGTGGCAGTTCTGCAATTACAGTTTTCAGACCAATGCTAGAGATATCTCTCAACTGTTCTTTCTCTGATATCATATTGGTGCACAAGGATTCAACAATAGTTTCTACTTGATATTCTTTCACTTTGTTGACAAGTGGACCCAAGCTGAATTACATATATTAATAAAATATTTACACTATGGAAGAGGATGTGGCACTTACCATTTCACTGCCAGGTTTTGCACTTCACCATTTTTATCCTCAAGCAGCTTCAGGAGCATCTTGACAACCTTCCTTTCAGAATCATCATCAAGTTTAATGCTATCCTTCTGTAGCTCAGTCATCAGATCATTTGTGGCCATAAACCGAAAATCTTTATCAGATGACTGCATCTAAGAATTGAATGAGAGTCTCAACAGAAATTCTTCTAATAGCTGTTACAAAATTGCTTACCTTCTCCAGCAAATTAGCTATCTGATAGGAGACGCTGGCCATCGTCATTCTGCTTTTCTGCGCCACGGTTGATGATTTTTGTTTCCGATTCTACTGGACAAGAATTGCTTAGAGCTTACTCTAACCAATCAACACTGATTAGTTTTAAGGTATTATCATAGTATTTATTCTATGCAACTAACCGGCATCGGTCAGCAAATGCTCTGTACGTCACTTAATGTACTTTAACTATTGAATCAAATGTTGTTCGATGATAAAAATATGTTATTAACTAATTGCGCTGGTCACTGTGTAAGTGGCTGCAACTGCAATGCATTTGTCATTCACCACCCTGAAGTTGCCTATTGAATGGTGTGAAGATTGAAGAAGAATAAATAGAAATATTTATTTAAATTTGTAAATTTAAAAGAGAACCGTTTTCAATTAGAATAATTTGTCAAATGTTTAAAACAAAACAATAAAAGATACTTCTTTTTCTAGTAAAACTGCACCTCCATCTATGAAGGGGCATCCACATCCTATTACTCCTGTTGCCACAGTTGCAATTTCAAAATTTAAAATCGGTGTAATTAAGCGAATCTCTCAAGTTTTTTTTTACATCAATTGCTAAAATGAATCTAACTATTCGCTTTTTATATTAATTGTGGAGTTACTTGTAGTGTTAATTGGGATTTTTACTAAATATACCAGATGAAGAACAAGATGATTTATAAATTGTAAATTGGATTATGTTTAAGTAATTTACTTGATCTATTAGAATAAAGATATTTTTGTGTCGTTTTACTAACGACAAATTCGAAATAACCAGTCTTTTCAACTATTCGAGATTGATTAAAATTTGCTTCGCGATACACATTGGAGATCGGCAACCAAACTAGCATTAATTTCAATTAAATATTTGAAGAGATTCAGTCAAATATTTGTATAATATTATATCGCATGTTTTGTTGTTTTTGGCCAATAAATTATTAATTATAATCAATAAAAAAGTATAAAAAATAGTTAGTGGAAGAACTACAATGCCGGCGAACCCTGTAATGCGGAGGGCCCGAGTCTATAAAGAACCTAAATAAAAAAAAATATGGCTCTCAAATAGTAAAACTAGCTGGTGTCTAGGGCCCACAACTTTCTTAATGTGACCCTTCGAGTATCGATCCTCCACCTCACCGTCATCAATGTTTATAACTGATGTTTAAGGCTGTATGATTAAGTCTATTTGAAATCGAGCTCAACTCAAATATATATAATAAACCTTAAATAAATATTTCCATATAAATACGCCATACAATTATTCATAATTACCGTATTCAACCTTCATTATTGGAAGAAGAAGAATGTATCAAGAATGATGCTGATAACAAAATCTAAATGTGGTCTGAAACTTTAGTTAAATTAAATTGCTAAGTATTTTAAGCATTCAAATATTAACTCGAGTATTTTTAAGTTAAAATATCGTTTATGTAAATAGTAATTAATGACACGATAAAAACAAATGTCTGTGTATTTAGATTTGTATATAATATACGTTTAGATAAATATTTTTGAACAATTATATCAGAATAATATGCTTCAATTACGTATTTAATTGATTAACATTTCTCAACTAAACATCACTAGTTGAATCAACATCATAAACTGATTTTTTTCATCATAACAATTGAGCACAAAGATATATAATGAAATATTGTACATGTATACTGTCGTGTCTCTTGGATAGTTTTCTGGACACTGTGGGATATCTTCTTCTGTTGTGGAGTCTTAGGTTTGGTAAATAATGAATCCAACGAGTTTTAATTGTTGTTTATTATTAAAATATGCTTTAATGTGTGATAGGTCTAAAACTCTGTAGTTTATTCTTTTATGTTATTACTAAGATTAATTACAAATTACTTATTCTAATTAACTAGGCAAGGGGGTAGGAATTTGAGGAATAAGGCACGGTTTTGATAAGACGCTACGCTTCATGTCATTGCTCCTGTACGGATTCTGCGTCTGGTTTCCACTTGAAAATATGAGCGATGTTCTTATCAGTAGTCGGTCTCAATGAAACTGCCTATTCTGCGTCTGAGTTCTCAGTTGAAAATAGGAAGGAATGTTACAATCGGTCTCACGTTGGAGGTTCCTTTATGCTTATGTATATGTTTATATAATAAGGCGTCTAAGAAACGCCGTGTATGTCTCTTACATCGTTAATACACTATATTAACAATAATAATTGTAATAATAACGGTTGAACACAACAATACTATTTAAAATAAGATCATAGACATTTATTCATAAATTTGATTTTGATTGTTTTAATTGCACTTATAAGCTAATTGTTAATTGACAATTTAGGTCACGTAGTTTGTTTGAAGTAATAAGTTAAAAGGAATCGAATTCAATAAAAAAAGTAGACGAGACATCGAAATAATATATATAGTTTCTTTAATGTTATTCTTAGATGTTATTTCCGAGAAAAAGTCTGCGTAGTATTTTATTTGCTGCATTCCTATGCGTTCGTCGAATATAGTATTTTTTTAACATATTTATGAATGAACTTATTTGTACTTTGGTTGCATATACAGGTATCCCCCGACTTACGAACTAGTTCCGTTCCAAAGGGTTATTTTTAAGTCAGGGGAATTTTAAAAATTTCAAAATATCTTACCACACATTATCGTGGTTTTTACTTTTATATATGTTAAATTTCGTATTACTGACTGCATAAATTTGAAAAAATTCATTAAAATAAACAAAATATTTACTTATTCATTTTCTTCCTATTTCCCTTTTTCTTCTGTCCACACAATAATTTTATACATTTTTTGTCTATAAATGAAGTTTTTATTATATAACTTTAGGTATAAATACGGTTTTGTATATACAAAACAAAGTTATATAAAAACAATAAAAGTTTGTGTCGACATTTTTAATAGAAGCATTAATTAATAACATTTCGTGCAAAAACTGTTCAATTACTTAAATAATAGGTTATTTAGTAATTAACTAATAGGTTTCTTTGTTATTTACTTATTTATTTTTAAATATAGCAATATCTTAATGCGGTTTTAATAGTCGATTAGGAAAACCATTTATGTAATTATATCAAACAGCGACTGACATAACATAGGTAATGCTATAATTTATTTCATATTCAGAATTCTGCAACAAAGTGAAACTAAGTAATAACTCAAATTATTATTATCAAATAAGAATGGATAAACCTTACACCTAGATTGATCGTATAATATATTGAGAAGAAATTGTGGTTGCATCACAATTTTTTTTATCAGAAAATCACGACAAAAATGTTACTGATACTTTTTATACTTGAAAATTCGTAGCCCCATTCCTTAGAAATATGCTCAGTAGTAGGTAACAAAGGAGAATATTTGATTGTCATACTTCAATATAAAAAATCATTAGACCACACCTGCTTATTTCAATAATACTTTTTGTAGTTAATAAATACAAATAGTGGGTGATCGGTTAACGGTCAAACGAAATGGGACTCACAAGTTACGTAGCAATAGAGAAAGTGATAGTGGACACACTTAGAAGTGAAGACAATCTGCATTGCCAAGACATGTCAAAACGTGGATGCTGATGAAGGAGAGAGGTTTTAGTGAGCTAAGAATCCTACAGTTCCACGACTCCACCCGTGGTCCCTATGTAAGGTTTCCTCTTCTCTCTTCTACAAAAAATAGGTGTCTCACAAATGTGTTTGTTATCCGAACACAAATATCTTTCGCAAAAGTGTTCGTTGTCCGATTTGTTCGTTGTTCAAAATGTTCGTTAACCCAGTAGTATCAAACTCAGTAGTATCAAACATACAGTGACAAAGCCACAACCTATTAATGATTTCTCTTTACCCTTCAATGTCAATCTCACACATAAGCTCAGTCTATATCTCTATGTTTCTAAAATTATAAGCACAATATTTACAACGAATGTATTTGTGGGCCTATTAAAAATGAGGACCGTCCAATTAAGACCACTGCGTTAACTTATAAGTTTATTTATATAAGGATAGTATTAACTCAAAATGTAAGTCCTTGTTTGTTATTATAAATGTATATTCTGAAATTTGATCATCATAATTATATCCTATAATTAGGGTATAATAAAAAATGACTTTCCTTATGTAAGGTATAAATATAATATATCAACAAAAAACTTTAAATAATATTCATTAGATGCAACAGGATCTACAGGATATCTATGATAATTCATTTTTATATCTTTCTTGTTAAAAAAGGGCGTATATGTATACTAAATTTAATAATAAATATTCCTAATAATCTTCATTACAACAGTAAAGAAATAAACATTTTTATTCACAACAATAATAATAATTATAAAACGATTATAAAAAGATTAAAATAATAAATTTTCACCAAATTTGATAAATGATCACAAAAATAATAAATGCATATCGATATAATTTATAAATTTTATTATGGAAATTTTCGATATAGTAGGAATTTTGATACAGTCGGGATTTCGAACGTCTGGATTTCGATTAGCGGGATTTCGGTTGTCGGACTTTCGATATAGACCCGATAATAATACCATCAACAAATGCAAATAAAATACTATCTACACATGGCTAAAACTTACATAATTCATGCACGGTGATAACATTTTTTCATTGTATTCCCTTTCTATAAAGTTTAGGTCAAGTATTTGCCACTAATTCAGGAAGTTCATTTGAAGACCCTAAAAACAACTTACAAATAATTAAACTGTCAATCGATTTACATCACATTATAGTAGTGAAAGTAATTTTCGTTTTTTTTTCTTGCTAGGGCAATGCCAAGTCCGATCTGTTTAGTTATTTAATGGGCAAATAAAACGACCTTTAAACGAATAAGGTCTTAATTTGCCATATATTATTAACCAATAATCAAAAATTGATCTTTCCTTTACTATTTGTTACACATTTCTCGTGGAATTCTTTATTAGTACTGTGTATTTTGATATATCAGAACGTATTTTTATCATTCGAAGAAAACATCATTAGACATTTATTTTTGAAATCATCTTTAATGCTATATCCAATTCCACTCGAATCTGAAAAATAAATTTCAATGAAAATCTAATTAAATTATCTAATTTAAACATTATCTAATGTAGTGATTCTCAAAGCGTGGGTCGCGACTCCCAAAGGAGAGTCTTAAAATATTAATGACTGATTGCTTTTCTACACATACCCATTCTTCGGGGGGACCCAAAAACTGTTTGAGAATCACTGACCCAATGTATATTCAACTATAGCAATAATAGCTATACTATGTTAAAATATTAATAAAATGCAAAACCAGGCTTTTTATCAATTATATCCGGTCTGCCTTTAATAAAAAATCAAAGAATAATAAAAAAAAATACATACCTAAAGCGTTATAAAACCTAATAAATATATTAATTATTCGAACACTAAATTTTGGTTATTTAACTCAAATAGCCCAAGAGCGTGATTATTCATCACTATATTAATTTGAACTTTAAATATCTGATTTATTTATGGCTCAATAACGTTAAATTAAAAAAAAAATTAGATTATTAAAAATAATAATGTATTGACTTATTTTTTTCTTTATGTACAAATTAGAAAAATATATTTATTTTATTTGTACTTTATTGTTAATATTATAAAAGCAGATAATATTTAATCAATATATGAAATATTTTCATAGAATATTTATATATTTGATTATATAATGGTGTATAATAGAACAAAAGTTTTAGTGGTAATCTTGAAACAATGTATAATTTATATGAATATTATTAGAATATAATTTATTTATTTCTTTATTTAAACATCAACTTAAGCTTCTTTCAACAAAGTATATTAGATACAGTATAACTATAATATGCGATTAATAACATAACTATAGACTTCCATCATTTCGAGCACAATTATATTTTTTTTTGCGTATAATTAATTCAAGGATTTTATAAACATTATTATTAATTATAATTTATTGGGACGGAAAGTCCCACTCTTTACAGAAGTTCTTAATGATTTTTTTTATATATGTAAGAATAATTATTCTTATTAATTATCATTGCATACATTAATATATAAACAACTATTGACCTAAGTTCGAAATAATAATATTTAAATATTTCAGCAAAATTATTAAAAGGATATATATTTCATAGATTGTTAATTTCATTTGATGACAAGAGACATAAAATAATTATATTCAATAATATTTATTTTTAATTACTGAATTAGAAAAATATTTTTCATTTATTGAAAAAAAAAAGAAAACTATTTCAAGAGTATTTTTTCATTTATTTATGTAATAAATAACCGCCGAATGCAGGTATTTCCATCTTCAAGTTAACGAGGAAATGCAAATGTGAATTGCTTGGTGACATTTAACCCACTTACGTTTAATCACCAAGGTTCTGAAAGTTCGAAGTTCTTCATTGTTTTAAATCAATAATGCTGCCATAAAGCTGCATCGTGATTTCAACGCCATCTACGTAAGAAACCGCACATTTTTTTCCACGCACACCGTTTTTGTTTTCTTCATTTTTTTTTTCATTATGAAACCCAAATTACGTTGGAAAACATAATTGTAACACATTATATGATAGCTTGTATTAAATTGAAATGTTATAAACATAATAGCTAAAAAAAAGGTTAATCAAATTTATTATTTAACTTTTTTTTATATAAGAATCAAGTGGTAATGCAAACAAAAAGAACGTAGGTCAATAGTTAATTTATTTTTACGTCAGTTAATATTTTTCGTAATTTTATTATTTATTATTTAGTGTATAATAATCATGCATAAAATAATAACAATCTTTAAAATTAACATTAAACATAATTTGCTTTTTATATTATTATTAGTATTATTAATATTATATTGTTTATTCAATTTCAAAAGTTGGGATTAGCGCACGTTCGACGTTTTTTTTTGTAGAAGTCCACAGAGCTTTGCAGATGAGAATATTAAGGCACGCGTTTGACATTTCTGGTGGAAGGATTATCCGAGGAGAACGGTTGCATTTACGAAGGATACATTTGCAGCGCGAAATTTATTACTTTTTTTACACAACATTAAACTTTATACAAATCAACATAACAATAAGTAAACAAAAAAAAATACGAATAAAATGTTGTTAGTTAAATGCACAGTCGAATGATTTAATTTTCTCGTATTCGATCGACTCGAATCCAATTCAATTTTTTTTTTCGGTTATTCTTTCAATATTGATTGCTCAATTAGAGAAGATATTTTTAGGTAGGCCACAATTCTCATTTCTTATTTTTTTTTCAATTTATTCCGCTTTTATTTAAATAGTACAAACATCTAGATTAATCGTTAATCAATATACCTTTTATTTACTTCTTCGTCTAGCAAAATGTGTGCTGTTTTCCCATTATTGGTATCAATATTTTATTTTTTTACCACGTTCATTAATTTAGCAGGTATATAGTATTGCATTTGAACCAACGACAAAAATATCACAAGTAAATTGAGATTCGAAAGCAAGAGTTGTAATAATTCACGTATATTGTGTGCATTTGTCTGTGTGTGTATGCGTGTGCCAATACATATATTTATATATATATATTGTGAATAATGGGGTGTTTATTGTTTGTTTGTGATAAAGGCGCATTTATTCGAAACCTGATTCGATATTTATTATTAGATGGATTAAAGAATCTACTTTAGCTTCAAGAGAAAGAGATGCATCTCACATATACAAGAAGGCTTCAAAATCATTTGTGGGAGTGCAATGGGCACCGGGGAAAGCATGGCTATACCATTGGACTCCCCTCACAGAAACAGTTTATCAATACCATAAAATTTACTTTTTTTTTTGAGGGGCTTAAATTACATTTTATAAATATTAACACATTATAGCATTCAATATAATCTTTTTTTTTTAGTTTATAACAATTTTGCATAAAGTTTTTTTTTAACAATATTAAAGACACCTGTATTTACAATTGTGGGTGTCCCTTTCCTCTTCTTCTTATTTGTTTTATATCGATTTTTGGTTAATTTTATTACTATAATTTCGAAATCTCGTGGTGTTTTTTTTTTGGTATTGCTATGGGCTTTCTGCCTGTCTATACGACGCTAAGATAATACAATTGATTTACGTACACCCGCAAATTCCATTTCTTTGAAAAACAATGGTTTTGTTCAAAATTATTAATATTATTATATTTGAAGCAAATATAATCGGACGGGTCAAAAACTATTTTCTTAATATTCTTTATGTGTGTATACATATATATTTATTATTCTTTAAAATGCTGAATTCTGAGGTACTAGATTTACTGCTAAAAATGTTTTTTTCGTTTAAACCCACTCTGATTGTGGTATTTCTTGCTGTTTACAAATTCCAGTCGTGTATTTTTAGGTATTTCCATTTTTTCTTGTAATTGTAGACTAAACTCAATCATCTGAGCTCAGATTTTGAACTTTGCACTTGACAAAAATTATTATAGCATCCTGCGGCTTGAAAAATTTGATTTTTTTTTTTATTATTATTATTTTTATAGCTTTTTCCAGTTAACATCCTTGATACAAAAAACAGTGCATAATGCGTCATACATAAGGCAAATTATGCCACGTAAGCAGTTGTGTAAATATGGCAATCAATCAATTTATATTTTCGTTTTCTATTATTTTTTAATATATTACGCGACACCCCAAACCTAGCTTTCAACTTATTTCAATGGTCTTTGCGCAAAATCTATTTGTGTATCTTATGGTCAGCAACAATTTAGAGATACGGTTAACAAGTAGGAAAAACCTTGCAAATTGCACACGATGACACCAATATCGCAAATGCCAATTTGCTACTTTAACCTTTGCCCCACGACCCCAGTTCTACCATCGCAATGTACGCGTTTACGTAATCCAGGAATAGCAGAGCGGAGGCGTATCGATCTACTCTCGGCTTTATTACAAAAACACGCAGAGCGTAAGTAAATACCGATCAAAACAATCCACGCCTCCAACAACAGCGATTTAAAGCTCTGGTCTGGTTAAATCGCTTTAAACTTATGTTTTCCACTTATTCTATCCTAAGACCCAACGATTTCAGAATTGAAATAACTTCTAACTACACATTACATAATAGTATTAACCGTGTAGGTGCAATAACAGCAAAAACGCATGTTTTTAACGTATGCTTGACTATTTATGATAGCGAAATATATTGAAAACGTTGGCCGTTGGATACAATTTAAATACTACGAAATGTCATGAGAGATACTAAAAATGGCGCACTGGTACTGGTCAGTAGATTAGAAAAACGTTGTACTTAAATGTTTGAGTAAGTTGAACTCAGGTATTGGGCGATACTGGTCTACCGACTACACACGTTATGCACTGTTCATTTATATGAAAAATTCAACTCACGTACTAAGTAGATGAATGGAGTGGTTTGGAGGGATCCTAGTTTTCAATCTCTTGCAATCGACCAAATAAACAACCCCCGCCCCAGCAATGTTCCTTTGGAAATCTCTTGTACAATCGTAGCGTATTGCTCACGACAAAGACGTACAATCTTTGTGTTTGATGCGAGAATTTTGCTTGCTTATACAAAAAGAGATATATATATATTCTTACCAGTTTGTGCGATTTAATACATATATACATATATGTATATATACATATATATGTATGTATATATAAAGCAAACTACAATTTGATTTGTGCATTTTTTACCGTTTATAATATTTAATTCGTTAAGAGTGTTTCCCTTATTTTTATATTTTATAAACAAACAATTGCTACAAGTGTTTGAGATAAGAATTTTATATATGTCGCTTTTTATCTTTTCCGTTTCTTTTCTCCGTTACAATGAGCTGACCGTAGGTAAAGAACCATTTAAAAATCGTTTCTAATGTTATTCTAAGCATTATCAAAAAAGAAGTATGAAAAACACACAAGCCTGAGCTGGTTGTATACAGTGGTGCCTATCCATTAGATGTCAGCGATGGGTCCTCCGGTCATAGAGATGCTGGTTGTCATTGTGGTCAGGTTGCTGTAATTAAATACCAAACAATAATTATCTGAATAAAAGTTGAAAATATGTCAATTCTTACCCAGGAATCGACATCGAATTGGCAACCCCATCGGCGAAGCTTTCTCTGCTCATCTCATCAGCCATAGCAACCTTGAAATGGTGCCCGAAGCTGGCTAAGTCCTCACGGAATGCCTCGCTTGCAGGTGTAATTCCACTGCTAGTGGGTTGTAGAGGTGTCTCATCAGGGACGCTATCGCCTTCCATATCCATAGCCTCAGCATTCTTCTCAAGCGGCGCCGTTTCTTCATCGTCATTGTAGATTTTAAAGTATGCAAAAGTTAAGTAAATTACGGACAGTATGAAAGAAGGTATTGGTATTGCCATGGCGTAGACCAAATTCATGTACACTTGCCACATGTCCAGGTGGCTGATTACGAGTCCCGGATCGACGCGACTATAGTAGCAACTAAAGTTCGTACCTATTTCTTTGTACCTCTTCAGCCAAACCGAGCAATTGAGCATGGGAGGATAGCCGCAGCCTTTAACATTTGGGAACAATTTGGCGCCCATATAGTACCATTCTGAGTCATTGCCCATGAGCCCTGTGGGCTCCACTTCGGACACATAGTAATCGTAGTCATCGCTGACGGCCCGTCCTTGTCGCACTAGAGGAGCCTCCAGGTCGGTGTCGGAGTCGGTCATCGATAGGGAGGAGGATAGGTTGTCATGTAACAACTTATAGTTGACACGAATTTGTGTACAGTCGTAAATGTCTTTGGTGCAACCCTCGCGGCACGAGGACCATGAGCAGTTTGAAACTCCTAGGCGCCTCTCGGCGTCCTTCGTCACACAGAAGGCTGGATGCTCGTCGAACTCCATGAAAATTGTAGTGAACGCGGGATCGATGACAAAAGGCACAAGGAACAGGAACGAAAACAGGCTGAACGTACCGAGCAGCACGAAGAACGCGGTGATGTAAAAAAGCACCTTCTGCTTGAGGGTCTGCTCCTCTTTCTCCTCTTCCATGGTAAAGCTCCGGACCCCACCATCTGCGGCCGCAGAACGGACACTTCACACGCCGTCACGACTCACATTTAGGGCAGGCAGCCAAGGAACAGCCCCCCTTCGATCGCTCTCCTACCGCATGCACACACGAAACAGTCTCGCCCAGTCTCCGCCGACTATCAATCTAGTACTCAGTACCAGCAGTTTCAGTAGTACTCCAGCACTAGAACTGACTACCAGAGAGCCGGAACATCACAGCTACTGCTGCTGGATCCGCCGCTCCTGCTACCGCTCACTCAGATCATTCCATGCGTCCGGCCCGACCGATCCGATCCAATTGATCGATCCTCACAGCCGCGGCGACCTGCCGGCGCCGCCGTCGTCGTCGCCTAGTACTTTTATTTGCAGTTTCTTGTTGGAAAGTGTTCGACTACAGCGACAGAACTACAACCCCCAGCGAACGAGGTTCGCCGTCACATGCACGGTGGCGGTATCCAGGACACTGCAGTCCGCGCTTAGGATATCGATTTCGGCGCCGGCCCCCGCCAGATGACACGAACGGCGGTCTCCACAGGAGCCCCATGTGACGCTCTATAGCTCCGCGAGAGCCGCCGCAACCGTCGCTCGGATTGAAAGGTAAATACTAATAGCGATATCACTAATAATTACTAAACCACATCTGCCTAAGATAAGATGCTGAGATCTCTCAGTTTCCGAAAGTTGAGCACCTTTGCGTACGTATATGGATTTTTATTTGCACATTCTATTTCTAATCATTTTGGTTTGTCACCGGGGTGGGGATGGGGGTTGTTTTGAATGTTGTTGTCGTGCCTGAAGGGAGAAGGCGGCAGCAATATTGGAGGCGGAGGAAGCGGGCGGTTGGCCGTTGGATGGCGGTGGCGCGCGTCATATCGATTCGACGGCGCCGCAGTGCGCGTTTATTGATCATCAGAGAATGGTTGGGGATGGCGTAAGCGGCACGGCGCGGCCCCCACAGCGCATGCAGCACACCAGAAAACAACGGCAGCAGCACTACCCGTGCTGCCTTTCCCCACCATATAACCATTCAGAACCATTGAGCAGCAACAGAATCGTTGCGAAAGTCGGTTAGCAAGTTAGTGGGATGAAGCAGTGCGCAGTGTAGCAGCAGCAGCAGCAGGCCGAGGCCAAGCAACGATGCCCAAGAAGAAGCCGATCCCCGTCGAGGATCTGATTATCCCGCCGCAGGATGGACGAATCTGCGGCACTATCTGCATATGCCAGATGACGCTGGTTCTGAGCAGCGTCGCCCTAGTCTACCTGACGGTGGCCGTTTACGTGCCTTCATCGCGCGCCTTCCAGTACGGAATGGTGGAGGAGCCGGTCATGTGCACGACCACGCGCGCCGTCACAGTGGAAACCTGCGAGTGGGGCTCCTGCGGCGAGTGGTGCCTGAGCAAGACCTCGGGATCGTGCATGCAAATATTCGTGAATCTGCGGTACAACGGTAGTAGCATAGTCCTAGCAAATTGCACGAACACCGCCAACAAGACATGTTATGGCATCGACCAGGAAAACGCGAAACGCAGCCGTTGCATTGTCGATGAATGCAGGAATCTAACTGGAACATTTAACTGCTCCACCGGAATGTGCATCAACATCTCGGACGCATTTGAATGCATATTCAAGGATACAGATCCTCCGCTCAAGTGTTCAGGTCGGCGTGGAAAGATTACATGCATCGACCTGGATGGTCTCTACAGTTGCAACAGAGGGACTTGCGAACGCATTCGAACGCCATACAACTGCGAGCGGCGGTGCGTCGATATACCCACACGGAACAAGAATGTGATACTCCTTAGCGGTGACAAGGTTTATCTATCGAATTGTCAGCGGGCGCTCGAGCTAGACACTGGTGAGGAGATTTGGAACAAATCGCAGGGTAACATCATGATGGCCTCCTGCTACAGCATCGTTAATGAGAGCCGCGGTGTTGTGGCCGTCGACTGCGTGAACGGCTCGCTGCTGGCCAATAACATCCTCAGCGACCTTACTAACTTTACCTACCTGAGCTACGTGAATCTCTTCAACACCATACCGCTTGATGATCGGCGGCGCATGATTCCACCCGAAACAGATCTGATCATCGCCAACGAGAGCCGCCTACTGATCAACCTCGAGGGTTGCGTGAACACGCTGCGCGACGAATGCAAGGAGTTCCTCCGCGTCTACGGCAAGGACGGCACTGATCATAACGCCCGCGCTCGCTTTACTTGCTATTACGCCAACGGCAACACCGACATCGTTGTCGCCAGGTTCGACTTGGTGACTACCACCCGCCAATTTTGGATTGCGTCGTTGCTGCCTTCGGTACTCTTCTTCGTATCGTGTCTAACGCTAATAATCTGCCAGCGGACGGTCGTTGTCGGAGATGATGCGAAAATGCGTTTTCAGGGCTGCATCAGCTCGGACCCGGGACCCATAGAGAAAAGCAATTCTGTGAACAACATGACCGACCGAGGAGGCGGCAACGGCAACAACATAATGGCCCTCTGAGATCAGTCACGTAAGCATCGTAATGCGTCGTTTCCAATGCCAAAACACATGAAGGTTGCATCTACATTATTTCGATACACTAATTTGCCACGCATCTTAGCACATTACTCAACAATAATCCAAATTTATTGCAATAAATCAACAATACTACAAAATAATACGTAATCGTAGTTTATTTTCTTATATTAATTATTGTAGTCATTTGAGGCTAGAGTAACGTATATGGTTTTGCTAATATGTTTCAGGCGTTCCCCTACTGCTGGATAGAGGCTGAAGTCGCTGCGTCCCAGCTTCGGTGCAAAGGGGGAAAGCGTTGTTTTGAGAAAATTTAAAATAAGGCTTAGTTTGATTATTCTAATACATCCACGATATATATATCTATCTATCTATCTATATATTTATATACATAAATATATACATACATATATTTAACTAAATATAGATATATTTATATTATTATCCGCCCAACTTACCTTTTGGTTTTCTTTTATTTTTTTTTCTATTCGGATTGATATTGGCACTCGCGATCGATCGTTTTAATGTAATCCAGTGTTGCAATGGACGAGAAACAGGTGCAACTGATCTCAATAGCGGAGACCGCAAAGTTTTACGCCTCGTTATGTCTGGGCACTACGGCCATTCTGTCCGTATTTGCGTTCCTGTTCCTGATCCCGTTCGTTGTGGACCCGGCTATCTCCAGCTTGATGGCCGACTACGAACCGGAGCCCGTCACCTGCGTCGCTTCTCAGCACGTGTATGCGGAAGGACTACGGAACTGCTCGTGGTCATCCTGTCGGGAAGGTTGCACACGGGAAGCCACTCGCTGCCACCAGATCTTGGTCAACTACTCCCGTATACCCTTCCGCGACTACCGACCTCCCGTGCAATTAGAATGGGATGTCTCCGACACCCGGTTCCTCATCAACGCCGAGGGATGTGGCTATCCACCAAGTGTTAACTGCTCAAAATTCGCACGCCAATACGGATTTGACTCGTCCGGAACACCATTTCCATGCTACTACAGTAGGGTCTATCCCGACATAGTAGTGGCAAGATACTCTTGGGACGACACCCTCCGACACTTAATTCTTTCCATCGCTATACCAAACTTACTGTTCGCCGCATCTATAGGCGTGCTAAGTTATTGGTATTGTCCAGGATGCGGAAGGGCCTGCCACAAATACATGCACCATTTTCCTAATGAGTACGTACTTACCTAACAGCAATGACAACTTTTTAATTCACAACTCTTTTCCAGGGACGACGACTACGAAGACGATGCTTACTAGTAGCGCGCTGAAGTAATAACGGAACCTTCATAACTTCATCTAAAATCTTCAAACATTGTCGCCAGATACCTTCCATGAGCACACTGAGCCGGCCCCGGTAGTAACGATCATCAGTACATTAAGGATAACTTTGTTGGTCTACAGTTTCCTGAAACATTCTCCTTGTGATAAAAGAAAAACAAAGTAATTAATCAATTAGTGGTAATTAAAAATCTAGCCATCGGTAGGGTCAATTTTAACGAAGAAGCTTTTTTTAAAAACGTAATTAAGTAATCCTAGCTATAGTGTTTTTTTTTTTAAGAAAATCTCAGCACATCTTGAGCAAATCGAAGTACACCAAGACTTTTAGCTGTTGCCTTCAAAAGGAACATGATATAAGTATGCGAGCTTTAAATAGACGAAGAATTTACTCAATTAAATGAATTAAGGACCTAAGAAAAAATAATACTTTTTGAAATAGGAATATTGTGTCGACATAAGAACATTTATTAAGATTATAACGGGTTATTAGCATCGGGGACGGCTCCACTTAGCAGGGACGAGATCCTTTGTCGACGCAGGGTGTATAAGGAACAAAATAATAACAGGGGCGCAATACTTAAAACACTTCATAACACCATATGCCCCGCGCCTAGAAAGCGGTTTCCGGTTTTCCTGATAGTAGTTTGCATTTTTTTTCTTCTCCGAAACGCGCAAAATGCGGACTTTAGATGAGGTACATTATGAAGTTTTCCGATACGGACGTAGTATTTACAGAATCTTTAATCACGCTTTTCTTTTTCATAGAGTTTGCTAATATTAAAATATTGATAATATTAAGGGTTAAGAGTACGAAGAGTCCTACGTAACTGCCTTACGCTACAAAAATAAAAAAATATATTGATAAAATCAATTGCAGTCGTTTTGTAAGTAAAAATTAATTAATTTTATAACGTTCGATAAGCTATAATAACGATAATAATAAGAACGTTAAGCGATTTAACACTGTAAACTTAATATGTTTAATACGAATAAAAGTTTATATAATATATTATATATACGTATAAAAAAATATGCAAATGTCCGAAAATAACGTTTCATATCATCACCGGTTTTCACATATAATTACAAATTATAATTAATAGAAAAAAATATATACAAATTTTACAAATGAAATTATGTAAAAAAAAATACTTGTTACAAAATAAATGCGTTTTAAAGACAGCTTTCCCTTTACCAACACGAATCCCAAAAGATATGAAAATAAAAGAAGATATATCTGTATTAAATAAATGACAATCGCTTTCAGCAACGAAGTTACTCTTTGTTCAATCACGCATTTGTATTGATTTCTACCCTTGTATTATTTTCTAGTATTGAAAATATACTTATTTTAATAAGAATATAATTGTTTCTTATCCTTTTCTTTACTGCTTACCAATAAACTGAAATAAATTCAATATATATCTAATAATATAAATTAAAAAATAAAATAAATATTATTATTTATAATTTAATTATTCACTTAAATTTCGTATAAAAATGCAAATTGATATTGATATTTTATATGTAATTAAAATATTATATTTAAGTTTATACAGCATTTATATATAATAATAAAAAAACAATTGTATCTATATTTACTCTTTAATTGTAAAATCATTCGGATTGTATCAATGTCATAATATATATGTAATCTATTATATGCAGATTTACGTTTTGAAGTTACAAATATATGTATTATGTAGTACAGATATATAATAAAATAAAAATGATTTATTGGACTACTTCTTGCATTATTTTTTCTATCATTATACTTATGATATAGTAACAAACATTTTGAAATTATGAAAATATATAATATAGAAGCAAACATATAATCGAATATAAATGCACAAACATGTGAATATTCTCTACGAATATTTAATCAATAGTTTGTGGTTCAGGGTCGTAACCTGCATGTCTATAAAAATATCAAATTACTAAAAAAAATACTAAAAAAACATTACTTTAATTATATAGTTATATTTTTTCCATGAAATATTCCAATATTAGTTTGACAATATAACATCATAATAGAGACTAAAGTATTGATTTTGTGATACGTTAAACACGCCCTAATATTAACCATGTACATCTTGTAGCGATGGCTCTATTTCAATATTAAACACAATATGCAATATATCACATACTCCGGATTCAGTATAGTCCGGTTTGACAATTTTAAAAAGTTTCAATATTTGTCATATGTCAATTAAATAAAATTAAACAAATAGATGAAATCATTGTTCAGACTAGAAATATATGACTAGAATACATAACATGGAGTACCTAGATATACATAACAAGAACTACAAATTAAAATTCAATACATTCACTATTTATTGATTCATTCCAACTATTAATTGCATCAATAGTATACAGAAAATTAAAACTTTATTTACTACTTTCAAAAAGTTCAAATCTGTTTTTTTTTATTGAAGTATTCATATTTCTTTTCAAAATGCCGCTTCTGTGAATTTTCGTCTTCCTGCATTTCTTGAGATACCTGAGCGTTATCGACTGGCTTGGCTCGAATTTATTTGTCGAATGATTTTGTTCTGTTGTTTACATTTAATTGACTTTTTATTTTTCTATTCTATATATAGTATAGTGCGGTTTCTAAAATTTCAAAAGAAACTAAATTTTATTTGAACAAAATAAATTTTGAAAAATTTGTATATGAAACTATTTTTTATACTTGTTCGATTTTTTCTCTTTAAAAACAGATTTTACTGGATTCGTGACGTTTCAAATAATGCGCGATATATTATAAATTTGAGTTTTTACATATAAATTATGTAGTATAAATGATGTGTCATTTCTTCTGTTATTTTTAAATGGACTTGACATTGTTGTTATTTTTTGTTTCATTATAAAATTTTACGTTTTTTTTTGCATTATTTAAATAATATAATTAAGCAGAAAAACCTATGGTGAATAGCCATTTGTAACAGTCGACTATTTTTTTGCCGTTACAGGTCTAAATTTGCGAGTATCTGAGAATTAACAAGAAACCATTCATTAAAAACGTACTACAAATTATCAAACTGCGATCAATAATGATTCCAGCTTCAGCTTGATATATTTTTTTTAGTTTGTTCGCTTCTAAGCATATATATTGAATACAGCATTTCAATGTTATTATAATAATTGATTTTAATACTAGCCTGAAATGCATAATATTTTAAAACTACATTTAAAAAATAGTTTTAGGTATATTTTATAATAGGGTATATGGAAAAAATAATTTCAAAAATCAGTCACATTTTTTTTTATTTATCGTAACCTATGCATTTACAAGCAGTGAGTGTGCCGATTCGCAACAGTATGAATTTAACAGTTAATAAATTTTATTTATTGTAAATTGCATGTTAAAATAAAACCATTATCTAACATTGACAAGATAAATTATAGTTTTAAATATGGATTAGATATTAAGATTAACATCCACGTTAATTTAAGAGTGGAAATAAAAATTAAATAATTGTAATCACAAAAAATAAATTAATGTAAAATCAAATAATTTGTCATCATTATATATAATGCAGTTGCAGGTTGTATATATATATGGAGATGGTTATAAACTACCATATTTTGCTGCTGCTTTTGGTGTTTGTTATAGGTTAATTAACGTTATTAGTACTCTTTCCTAAAATATTAGTTTATTTCAATAATTATTTATAGATTAATATATAAATAATTTGATAAATAACAAATTATTTAATGTTAATCAATAGAACTACGAGAAATATTCCTTTGTTTAAGATGAACATTCATTATATTTACACTTATTAATATTAATCAATAAGTAATCGATAAAAGTTACATTTCTAAACTAATTACAGCAAAACATTCAAAAAATGTGTACTTACATGCAAGAATTATCGATGAAACGGTGCATGTTTATATCAGATGTGGACGATGTGTGTATTTAAATGTATGTGCAATATAAAATTCAGTCCTATTTATAATCTTGTTGCAAATCGCGACATCTGCATACGGATTTTGAAATGGGCCGTTACTAGGGACCAATAAATCAATGTCATGCAAGTTTTGGATGGGAGGTAAAACGATTTTCAAGGTCAATGCCAGAGGTGCACTGGATCGATATAGCTAGGATTTGATTTCTAGACACCGACACTGAAAGACAATCTGTTGCACAGTCTTGACAGCATAGAATCTTAAGAGTATTGGTTATATGTACCTTGGCCATACCAAATTCATAATTTATTGGAGAGGAAAATATTTTTTTTTTAATTACAGGTAGATGGATGCAACATCCTGGGAGATAATCGCGCATATTTGGAGCCTCAAAACAGTTGCGCAAATGATGCATATATATCAAATCAAACTGGGATTAAATTATCAGTCAGGTTGCGGATGCTGGACGGGCGACAAGTGTATTGTATTAGTGGTTTCGTTATTTCTTCAAATGATGTTAGTGGGACAATCTCATTGATTTTCTTCATTCGAAAATCCATAATATTACTTGAATAAGCATAGTAATTGAGAAAAAAGCGCTTGCGCTGGCGGCGCCTTTTTACATGGCCAGTAACACGCCGCCAGGCCCACAACCGCCAGTTAGTCGTGAGCATTGGGGGCGGAAGAGTAGTGAGAAGACGTACCCAAGATGTAGATACGATAAACTACGGGGTAAGACATTTGGACGATTCCGGCATCTAGCCTACCACGTCCTGCGGCCGGATACGATGAGCCATCAGAAGAATAAGTTCAAGGTTCGCGTGATCCCTCAGCAAGATAAACGTATTTGCGCCACTATATGTTTATGCCAATTAATGATTGTCTTCAGCGGTGTCTCTCTCATATACCTGACGGTGGCCGTTTACATACCCGCTTACAAGGCCTTCTACTCTGGCTACGAGGAGAGACCCGTCATGTGCCAAACGATTAACACGAGCGTCAACAACAACTGCAGCTGGGCTTCTTGCGGTGAATGGTGTCTTACAAAAACATCGGGCTTCTGTCCCCAGGTTCACGTAACGACCCGACAAAATGGCACAACAATGCAACTTCAAGACTGCACAGAATTTATGTCCGTCTCTTGTCCAGATGTTGTCACCAGCAAGCTGAGAAGATACAACTGCAACAATGGGAGCGAATGTAGCAACCTCAGTGGAGTGTTCAACTGTACATTGGGACACTGCTCTAACCTATCGGAAGTGTACCAATGCCATCATAAGGCCGATGGTCATGTACTTGACAGTGATAAAGACAACATGAAGATGACTGGGTTCTTCGAGTGCCGCGGCTCCAGATGCACCAAGATCAAGCGGCCCTTCACTTGTGATCGCTATTGCGATCACATCAACAGCAGCGACATCAACGTCATCATCACCATCGAAGATACATTGTACACGGCTAGATGCAGCGAAGCAATTGCTACAACTATAGCTAATGGTAATGAGCCAGAGACCAAAATTGATCCCACGGTATTCTGGAAGGAAGACCCTCGATATATAATGATGACCTCCTGCAACACACTCGTACGCAACGAATCCATTATCGAGTAAGATTGATTAACCATCTCCATCGCTGCACCCTTATTAATTACTTAGTATAAGATCAATTTCGCTAATAGAATTTTGTTTGTTTACAGAGGTACCGATTGTTTGAATGGCACTATTTATAAGAAAGAAGACATACCAGGCCCTACTATGAATTTCACCACCTTCTGGTCGCTCCGGCCCAAGGCTCTGCGACCAGTTGATCCAAGGCAGAGGTTCATTCCTCCTCAATCGACGCTTACCATTTACAACAGCTCGAAACTATTGATAAACATTGACGGATGTGTCAACACCCTTAGAGGCGAATGCCGCGAATTTATGAACATCAATGGAAGAGATGGCCGCAACCAAACAGCACAATCTAGATTCCCTTGTTACTACAAAAAAGTAATGCGAACCTTAAGTAATCACAGTGGATAACGATCTTTTCTTTGCAGAATATGCCAGCGACAGTACTTCTACGCTTCGATTTAAATGAGACCCGAAAGTATCTCATAATTGCAGCAGTCCTCCCTTCGACCATCTTCGTAGTATCATTTGTCACCCTGTGTGTTATAATGCGATGCGTCAAGGTCGGTGACGACGCCAAGATGAGGTGTATCCTCTGCACGGAAACTCCAGAATCCGAATCTGAGATGACAGCTATCAGTAGATTCGACGATTTGTCCCCCTACGAAGGACCACCCAAAAAAGACGAGACACCATTGGTAAACTGAACTCCCTTTTCCAGCATTCCCTTTCGATGTCGGGCCTCTTGACCAATTTATTTAAAATGTCCCTATGTTTCTTTTCCCGTTCATCTTCATGTCTTGATTCATTAAAAAAAAATACTGAGACTTTCATACACAATAATTTAAGAGTAGTAAAATATTTTTATTTTATTTCAAATGATATTCAACAAAATAGTTGACTTCAAAATTCAATTCTTCCAACTTTTATGTTTCTTTATTTATTTATTAATTTATTTTTTCATTCCATTCCGGTCACACGGTTATATAATGTTCGGATAAAGCAAAACGAAAATTTGAAACAACTAAATTTAATGATACGCTTTACCTGTGCCTTAAAAATATTGCAGTTAAAAATATCTATTTAAAATTCAATTTACACAAAGATTTTTCCCTATTCGTAATTCATATTCTAAAACAAGGCAATATAACGATTACAATTGCTATGATAACAGTTATTGATGTCTATGGTTTATTGCGTGGTCACAATAATATTTCGTTTAGTTCCTTCTTATAATTTTCCACGCAACTAATCAACTCTTGGAACCAGGAAAAGCATTGGTTCATCATATATAAATATATATCTTTCTATGCGTATACAACGACTATTACAAATACTATTTATAAAATATTCTATATTACCTGTCTCGATGTGAAGAACGTTATTAAACGTAATAATTTATATAACTTGATATAATTATATGTGAGGGTGCCAAAGCTAGAGCATAGATCACATATTCGAACTTAATTTATTAATTCTTGATACACATGCATCGAGGAAACAAAAGAGCTAGGTAATATTTTGTAAAAATTTAAAAAATGAAATGTAATAATAATATTTATTAAATCAGTCACATATAAACTAAAAAAGAAAAATAAAACATATTTATATAATCATAAAATAAACAGTTGCAAATGGCTAATGACGAAATTAAATTTATCAATGTCAAAATCAACAGCTCATTATATTGGTCCATTTCTTTAAATTGAAGTTAAGTAACAAAATTGAAAGAGTAAACTATACAATTTCGTGTTATTAAGCACAAAAAATATACATTATATATAGAATTATTTTTGGATCTAAATCCCAACTATTGGGAACAATTTGTTTTTCAAAGCGAAACAAGAAAAACAATGAATATTCTAAATTTAACAAGTAATACATGTATTTTGGAAAGTTTTTAAGCAATTGTGATGAAAATATGTTTAACCAAATATTTTTACAAATTTTAATAGAGTCATCACTCGCATTATTCTTATTTTATTATTTAATTTTTGATTTATTTAAGAGAGGTTAGCTTGATCGATGCGAAGATCTGGTATTTACTATTGACGATATTTCACAAGCATGACCAAAATATCAACTACCTGTTGTACATAACTATTCAAAGTACCTATTGCTATCGAAACATATTAAAGACATTTTATGGATAAAGTTCTACAGAAAAGTGATTTTTCTAGGATCATAACAAAATTGTAGCACTCAGATTTCGTTGGGACCTGAATATATTGAACCTCATATTTATGTAACTTAAATAATTATATTTTCAACCTATTATAAACGAATTATCAGATGCCAAAGAAATTTCCGTTCATATTTCTGTTTTTCTTTGGCTAAAACCATTCTATTTGAGCCACAACTTATGTTTCAAAATTAATTTTGAGACAGCGTTTCACATCGAATAATATATAATTATTATATCTAACATAATTATTGAAACTCTTTAATATGTATAGCTTGAAAATTGATTATAGGATACTCAATTGTCTACGTACAATTTTGTATAATTTACTTAAATTGGCTAAAATTGTTTGTATTTTGCACAAAGCACTTGTGTAGTTTGTCAAATTTATCCAAACCTAACAAGAATATTATGAATTCTGGACATGATGATTGCTCTTATAAATCTAATTTATAAGTAAAACAACAATATATATTGAATTTGTAATTGTAACTACAATTATAACGTTATAACAGGTAGTATTCAATTTCCAGCAAAATTTTACTGGCTTTTTTAAAGGTTCTTTAAATTTAAGAATAATATACGAATTTTCAAGAATGTTTATATTTACCTAAATGAAAAAAAAAACACAATAATTCATTTTGAAAATGTGAAAAATAATTACAGTGGAACCTCGCTTAACGAGCAAAATAAATTGTAAGAAAAATGACTCGAAAAATGGAACGCATTATCATATATTTTATATGGATAATATTGTTTCACTATACGAATAAAAATACGGAAATTTTGGAACGGATTATGCTTGTTAAGTGAGGTTCCAATGTATACCTACTAATTTCTTATAGGCTAGTCTTAATTGCTGACTCTATTCTAAATGATATACGCTTATGTATTGTAATCAATTGTGATATGTTAAAAAACATAGAATTTAAAAAAAAGAAACAACGTTAAAAGCATTTTGTACCTCCAATTTTGGTATATATATCAAGAAGATATATGATCTAAGCTAAATGGCACCCACAAAAAAAATATTGTTATAATATATAATAAGTGTATTTGAATGTGATATACGTCTATTTATTGAACTGCAACAAAAAAGAATGTAGCCCACTTCAATGTTATATTGATGTAAACTATAAATGGGAGTAATCTAATATTACGACTGATCTACTATTACAACTTTGCTAATTATTTATAAAACAAATAATAATTGTGCGCAGATTGACTACTCATAAAATAACAACTTTATTGTTCAGACAAGATTTAACGTCAACAATTTCAATGCAAACATAACTTTTAACAAAATTAAGTGAAAATATTAGTCCGTAATCTAAAGATTTTGAAGGACTAAATGTTAAAAAGTATGCTTATTTCAAGTTTCTGAGAACTGTAACAATAAATTATTTATATCTAAGTTTCTCCAAATCGTTACACTTAATATTTAATTATCATTCATTTCAATCGATTAATTTCCAGGTTTTATTTATCTTCTTAATTTCTTGCATTTTCCCAGAATTGCAACGAAGGTTTCATTTTAATTCAAACAATCCGCCCAAATAATTATGGTTTCCAAATGCTAAAGTGTGTAATAATTTGACTTTAAAATATATAAATGACCGTTATGTAATTACCGAAATAAAGAAATGTACTTACAATGATCTACTACTTTTGACTTACACAACGCACATTAAATGTATTTACACTTATATATCATCTATTATTGTTAAATAGTTAAAGTAGTTATAAATAATAACTACTAGTTTTCCAGTAGTATTAATTAATTTCCAGTCACTTTAGGAATATTTACCAAAATATTTTTTTTAACAAATTCAATATTTACACCATTTTTCAATTTTGCTTATATACTCTGTGCACAATTGTGATATATTTTAGTGAAAATATTATGAAAAAAAAAACATATTTTATAACATACATTTTCAGAACATAATTAAAGACATGATCTAAGCTAAGTGGCAAACTTAGTATATATTATATAATATAATAAGTGTATTTAAATGTGATACTGGCTTAAATGTTATTTGTGTAGACAACACATGGGAGTAATATAATACTACGAATGGTTGGAGAAAAAAAAAATTCTCAAATTAAAAAGGACACCACTTGAATTAATCCACCCAAGTATTGCTCATATTTGTTGAATGGCAAAATTTATTAGTATTTAAATATACATTACCATTAAAGTAGAATTGCTATAAATATAATTAATGGATGTACTTTAAATCAGTCGTTACGACCGATGCGAATGCCCGGGCAACCAAAATGTGTTAGTGAAAAAATTTGGATGTTACGACCATAAATGTTTTGGGGTGTCTCCCCCGCTCACACATTTTTTTTGGATGTCAACCCCCTCACAAATTTTGTTTTATATCACCCTCCCTCTCACATTTATTTTTTTAAGTATTTTGCCGTGGTTGGAAATAACAAAACCAGAAGCTTCAAAAAAATATTGAATGTTTGCGACAACTAGAAGCTTTAAGACTAAAGTTTTTTTGTTATTATAAAGACTATTTGACAAATTGATTATGGAGGGGTTGAGTGTCCACTTTAAGAGTATCGTGAGGCCTAAACAATTTTTTATTTGAGCCCCTTATGGATGCGGTTACCGGTTCATTGTAGTTCCGCCACTGAAAAAGTACCTAAAGTAGCTGGCACTATAATGATATAATATATAATAAGTGTATTTGAATGTGATATACGTCTACTTATTGAATTGCAACATAATAATGTTATATAATGCTATAGATGTGGACTATGTAATCCAATATTATGACTGATTTGCCATCATTATTTAGAAATAAATATAATAATAATTTTCAGAACACTCGTCCACTTAATCATGGTTTTTCATCATTTACATTTAACTTAATATTATATTACTAATACCTATAGATGTTTTCAGAAGATTAACAAATATATTTACAAATATTCATAAAATGTAATAAATGATATACATTTGAACTTCTGTAATCAATCACATACAAATCCTATTTATTGTTACCAAAAATCTCCAACGAAATGTTATTTTCTTTTGGACGCGATTTTCTTGCTTATATTTATATTTTTTATTTTAGACGCAAATGTAATTCTAAATAAATAAATATACTTAATATTTTCTGTTTGTTTTAATTTTCATTTCTTCCTCTTACAGGGTTATTCCACCTTTACAAATTAATTACGGTAAAAATTTGTAAAATAACAACCTAACAAGAATATAATGAATTCTGCACATTGATTGCTGTTATCTAGTTTCCAAGTAAAACAACAATATATATTTAATTTGTAATTGTAATTCCAATTTCCAACAATTTTTTACTGGATTTTTCAAATTAAAAAAATACGGAATAATTCATTTTGAAAATTCGCATAATATGAATAGACAGAATTTATTATATAACAACATACAAAAGGTAATTGACCGCAGTTTTTCGGCACAATCAAATATATTCACATTTTTATTTCTTTTATTATGATTTCTTGTGTGTATTTATTTTTTGCATATTTTTTTTTTAATCAGCAGAAAAATGGAGGAATAGAACACTTTTAATTCCTCGTGTAGTCTAAAAGTAAAATTCAGTGAGGATTTAAGTCATTAAAAAGTTTGAACCTCACCAGGCACGTATCTTTGATCTTGCTGTAGGCCCTTTGGATGCAGAAGAAATGTGATAGAAGATACGGGGAAAAATATGACAAGACGACGTCGAAAACTTGAATAAAAATAAATCATGTAAGTTCGTTTTAGTAGTTTCTAAATAAACGTTTTACCTGTCATCTCGTTGAACTTAAAATTATTTTATACTATGTTTGAAATCTCCAAAATCCGCAATGAAATCGGCTATTAGGATACCCATCACGTCCTTGATTCAGCAGTAACAACAACGTCTTCATATTTCCTGCCCAATCCATGAACATTATAGGCTCCTCTTCGTTTAATATAACATTACTAATTCTACGATGAAATAGTAAATAGCTGGTTGCAATTATAAATGTACAAATCTAATTGCATAACTTATATAATATTCAAATTTATTACAAATCCATAATAATTATTTTTATTAGAACAGAATATTGTCGTGTCCCGGGATGGAATATCTTAGGACACTGTGGAATAATTTGTAGCTTTGTCGTTGTGGAGTCCTATAGGGTTTTATGGTAAAGTCTAGATTATAGTCAGTGTAATTATTAATATTTAGATGATTGAGATTCTTAATCTAGCTTCCAGTTGCTAACAAGCATAGGTTGCTGCTCAAGAGTTATACTAGAACTAGGGCTAAGACTAACTTAAAATAATAAAAGTATCTCCTTATATGCTAAGACGCTGAGCGAAAAGTAAATATTATTCTAAGGGAAGGGGGTTAATTTGCCCTGTGGAGTATCCGACATTGGTGCCACGGATTTTTACATCTTCCGCTCCCAATAAAGTATTGTAAAGGGTTATTAATCTTACAATTGCTTGAAGAGGTTAATTGTGGAAGTGCATAGTTTTTATATTTAACTGCCCAAGATGTAACATAATCTTCCACTTACGAAATTGACTACCCATTTATGGTAGTAAATACTAACAAAATATGAGAAATCCGAGTATATCTCTAAAAGTGTTTCATTGTCCTATGCAGATATTGCAAGTGCTGATGGGGGTGTTTAATGTTTATAGGAACTATAAGAATGTACTTATTAATGCATGGTACTTATTAACATAGATCAATAATTAATAATAAAATGGTTGGACACAACAACATACCAATGAATTTTCAAAGCAAAATGTATGTATGTAAATAGTAAATTGTATACAGAAGTACCTCGAATAGCGCAGGGGTGTAATTGATTCTGACAATATCCCGGACTTCTTTCTTCTTCTTCGTCCAAATGCATTCCAGAAGAAGGAAATCCGGTGTATCTTGAAACTATTTTGCAAACCTCCATCGTGTTAAATTGCAGGAATGTTTAGATATTTAGTTTGAATGGTCGTTTGAGGTTACAAGACAAATGTTTGTGAATGGTTTTTGTATCGGAACTAAGAGACTAAATCCGATTTACTTATAAAAAGATAATTTTGTGTAATATTCTTCTTGTGATTTTTGCTTAATTCAAATTTAGTTGGTTTTAATTATTATTTTTCAAACTGAACTGTAAATCCGGACTGTTTGAATCTGCACTATGCGAATCTGCGCAGCAATGCTTATAAAACAAGTCGTTCCATTCAAATTGTAATATAAATTTAAAGAAACGATTGTATCATACTATTCTCAGCAATTAATAAAGAAAGTTATATAAAGTCGTATTGATAAATATAATTTACGAATACGAAAAATGTAAAACCTTTATTGTTTATTTGTCTATATTTATTGAAGAAATAAACATGAAACTAAGAAACGTTAATTCCATTAATTTATGATAATGTATAAGATGTTATCTCAAATAATTTAATATAATTAAAGTATTGGACGAATTTATTGGATTTATATACAAATAAGATATAGTAGCAAATAACAAGGATACTAAATATAAATAAACATAGTAACTATATTACTATTATAAATTAATAAATAATTTAACAAACTAATTAAATACAAGAATGAAACGAGTAATATTAAGTCACAGCGCGCAGCTCACAGTAATCACCTATCATCTAGCGAAAATGAAATCCGCATTGAAAATTTCCTTCACAATGGTGACTTCAGGCCTTTGTTCAGGATCTTGAGATAACATCATCTTCATCAACTTATACTACAATTGACATTAACATTATTTAGAATATAAACTAGTTTATTCAAAAGTTTACCTCATTTTCGTGTTTTAGATGGAAATCAGGTGGAAAAATTTCTTTCCTGAGATCGGTAAGGCAATGATGTCTTTCCATATCGGTTGTTAACGGCACGATAAGTTCAAAAAGGATAACTCCAAGTGAGAAGATATCAACTTTGTGATCATATTCCTCGCCGTTCACTTGTTCTGGACTCATATAGAAATATGTACCAGCGCCTTTCGTATAATCAGTGTTTCCTGATTTACAGAAATCATTATCCACGTTCTTCATAGACGTGACTAACCCAAAATCGCCAACCTTAATGGTATCGTCTTGCGCAAAAAATATATTGCTTGGCTAGAAAAAATAAACAATATGAGAATTAAAATTACTGATATAGATTTTGTGTACCTTTAAATCGCGATGAATCAACTTCTGTTTATGGACATACTCAACTGCATTAAGGATTTGATTGTAAATAGAAGTTGTTTGTACTACTTCGCGTTTGGTGTTCTCCAAAAGCCATTCGCGGAGACTGTTCTTCTGACAAAGCTGCATTTGAATATACAAAAATGAAATATTACTCTTTATTTGCGAGTTAGACTGATCACTGCATGAAAGCTCCGTTTCCTCGGACATTTCACTTTTTTCGACTGACAGATCCTGTGTATTGTCTTCTGTTTTCTCCTGAGAGTTCTCAAAAACAATGTCACTATCAGACTCACTTGAAGGAATGTAAACAGCATTATGTTTAAGTCGATCCGTGCAAGTGGTAGTCGATTTACTCATTTCGCTCATGCTCGATGGAAACATTTCAGACACCCACTTCTTATCTACGAATTCGTTCCAATTCGGTGGAGGATTTTCCATCCAAGACGTACTATAACGCACAATATTACTATGATCCAATTTCGCTAAAGCCTTGACTTCTCTTAACACCCGGTCGTTTGAATCTTTCCTAAAATTAGTAAAGTGTTCGATCATTCTCTTATTATTAATATAAATATTATTAGTTACACATACTTTCTCGGCAATGCTATGCGTTTAATTGCGTAATTGTATTCGTCGATCTTCTGTTTGACCTGAAACACCACCCCAAAGCCACCACGTCCCAAACAGTTAACGATTTCGAATTCCTCCAAAAATCTTGATTTGAACGGAGGAACGTATTCATTCTCCGTGAAATCAATAACCCAGTTTTCAGTACTTAACGTTTTGTTCTCAGTTTCTGGACTAGTGGATTTAATTTCACTTATATTTACCAAAGATTGGCGAGATCGCCAACCTAGGTTGAAGAAGTACTTCAATACAACAATAGTTATTAACGAAACTATGAAAATTTGCTTCCTAAAAAACGATTTTTTTTATAAATTTATATTTGTAATTTACACTTTAATTACCAGTAATTGGATTCATATGATCCTGAGAATATAGGGATCCTAGTGAAATTGGTACCACATAGAATAGTACTTCCTTTCTTAATGTCATTTTCAGTATATAAATAGTAGCCATTCCCATTAATATAAGCTGAACTATACAGTACTGATAGTGCTGTTGTCTCAGGCTGACTACTATCTTCAATTTCATTTGCTGAAATTGGTTTCCATGGAATGATCGTCAAAGCATTCTTGTCTTTATTCCCATCCATGTGAATTTGCATGTTAATTGCTGTCTGTATTCTATCTGATTCATAGATATATAACTAAAATTTAAATATTTAATGTAATACAATTTCCATTTGAAAGAATTCTTACCTGTTTGTGATGCATTCCTAAGTAAATTGCTGGAGATAATGGCATTGTTGGTTTCTTTGCTTGATTGAAGAAATTCACCACATGCAAATCTTTCCCATCCCATCTCCAGACTTTCACAATAGGAGATTCAAAGCCATGCTTCCAAAGAACCTCCTGACCATCTAAAGTTCTGGCTGTTAAAATACCTTTTGGCAAAATTGCAGTTAAATTTAAATTATTTATAGCTCCATCTAAAGAAACACAACTAGGTTGGGGTATCTTAATGTTGTGTGAACCAACACTGAAATTCCACCTCTCATTTCCATTTCTTGGCTCATGAGCCCTTACTGTTACTGTACTCCTTTCAATTAATACTATATCATCAAAGTCACTAGCTGATTTTGATTTATCACAACCATGCACATTGCACTCATAAAGCATTTCACCAGTTTTTGCCAAAATACCATAAGTTCTAACATCTCGACTGCCTAAAACAATAACAACTTATATTATATGTTACAATAATTTCAATTATATCTTACCTGCAATAACTAAATCATTAGAATATAGGAATGAAGATTTTAATAAACTATCAGCATTAATTGGAATGGCATCTATAGTTTTTCCATTAAATTTATATAAGCTTCCAGTCAAAGATGGAATCATTCTAACTAATTCTCCATTATTTGTGAGCTACAAAATAATTGTATTAGATATTCTTCAATTTAGTTAGTAACCATTTTACATCTAAGTTGTGAATGTTTGACATCAAGAGAGGACCAGGCTGTGTTTCAAAATCCCATAGAATATTTCCTTTTGAATCAACGGTCGTCAGTTTTCCATCCAGTGTACTGACAATGATGAACCTCAAATACAAGAGACACTTAGTTCATGAAAAGTATATTTATTATTAATTTACCCAAATTCGTTTTGATCACAATGTGGTAACTGGGCTATATTGTCTGTATCTAGTGCAAAATTATAAAAAATACAGAGTAAACAGAAGACACACACACTCCTCAGCAGCTGGAGAAACATTTTTGCATGGAATGTAACAGAATGTAACTTGTTACAACTTGCAACAATTGGTATTTGTATTTGTTTGGTACGAGAATAGCGATAGTATAGGAGGCCCAACGTGGAACCTTCTCTTATTGGTTAAATTTCTGGTCTGTTTGGATGAAATCAAAATAAAACTAGGCAACCAAGAGAATATATGATACATATTTGTTGAAATCACGTGATCTATTTAGATAGGAACATGATACTACCTATTTAGTCTTATAAATGTTTGTTTTAATATAAATAAAGTCATATTTAAAAAAAATAATTATGAAAGATAAATATATCAAATCTTGCATAATACATGTGTATGTGGTTGCATATCATTAACTAATATAACTCAGGTGATGTTTACATGTTGTCATGTAATAAGTTAATAATTTCAGACAATATATATTTAGGATAAATTTTAAAGACATTGCTAATCAGTTTCAATAAAATTATGAAGCTTGGAAGATTATAATAAAAGCATTGAACATCTAAAATGCACAACAAATTTCATGATCATTTCGTATCATTTTGTATAAATAAATAAAATACATGAAATAGATATACAACCACAATTTAAAGCTGAATAGCTCAACTTTCTAAAGGAACTATTGGTAGTTCGAGTAGCGTGTTACGAGCTATAGAAATTGAAAAAAAAGTGAATAGGATTTACTTAAATATCGATCTACTAGCTGTAGAAATTGGATTAAAAGTGAATAGGATTTACTTAAATATCGATTTTCATTAATAACTCGAAAACCAATAAACTTTTGTTGCATTTCATAATTGCGTAAGATGGGCGGCACCCTTACGTAACTTTTTATGAAACAATACTTATGTAAAGTTCGTTGCGTAACAGGGTATAGACGATTTTTGCAATTTTTTCGACAACCCCTCAAGTTAATTACTTGATCGACTTAAAACTTAAATAAAAAAACGGTTGTATTTTCCACAAGAACAGAACATTTACTTCTTAGTTATTAACTTAAGTGACGAATGTAACTTTTAGTTAATAATCCATGAGATCAATACTTGTATAGTTGACTTCTCATGACAATAAAATAAAAACAGATGATGTCAAGAAAATGATTATATTATTAGGTATAATCTGACTCATGTTAATACCGAAGACCAGCAAAAAAGAACATCTATGTGCGAAATTAATGAGTCTCCTGTTGTTGATTACACTTCACTAATTTGTCTATTCGCACCTCACTTGTGTTATTCAATGCTATTCGCAAGAGTCTTCAATATTTGTCAAATTTTCCAATTAATTTTTTTAAGATAATATTCAATTAAATAATGTAGGTTTTTTTTTTATCAAATTCGCAATTATTTGTAATCATTTGAGTATAATTTGGAAACTTCTCGATAACATTAGATTCTATTCTTCGAATCCATTTACTAAGTTTCATCGCTTTTTTCAAGAAAATTACAAATACTTTTAAGTGAAATGAATAATAATTGAGCAAAATAAAAATGCATTCAAAAAATTAGTACGCAAATTATAATTTCCACCCTATTCATGTTTTAATTTTCTATTTTTAATTAATTGTTTGAACAACAATTAATTCCAATCCTAAATACCCAAAGTAATTTGTATTGTATTATTGCACTACTAAAAACCTAAATTGATTATATGTTTAAGGATTCTATAAAAAATTGTGTATGTACACAATGCATAAATTATTTTCAATATGGATTTTTTTTGTCTTTCCCATTTTTCAATCTTCTCATCCTTTAAATCTTCCTCATCCTTCTGCTAGTCCTATCGCATCCTTTTCCTTCCGCTACTTTAATGCACACGCTGCGTGATTTATATATTTACTGCTGCGCCTCGAGTGCTTTAAAATAATCCTCTCCAATTGCTGAGCATTCTCGCTACACAAATAAATAAAGCCAACGATATAATAGCACATGCAAACAACTGTATAAAGCAAGGACAAAAGAAAATTAAGCAATGTGTACATCGCTTGTATGTGTGTATGTTTAAGGACTTTATAAATGCAAGCTCCATAATAATGCTACAGCTATTTAGGATGTTTAACCCTTAAGCCTGATATTCCAAATTAAATTTAGTAGTAGGCAGATAAAGGGAAAAATAATTTTAAAAAGAAATCACTATACATATTTTATATGTGTACAATTCGATTTAAAAGTCCGGTATCAAATTTGAAACTTAGGGCATTTCGAAAATACATTTTCGATTTTTTTAATTTGCTTGACGATTAATCCAATGACCTTCTTCATTAAATTTCAAATAGTTGTTCGGAAAATATTTTATCGATGTTTAAAATAAAAATGGGTTGTGAAACTATTTTTTATTACCGCACTAAAGTATATTTAGTCTAGTAGTAGAATTTATTAAAACACTTACAAAAACATAATTTTGTGTATATTTTGTTTTGAATTTATTTTTAGTTTACTCAAACAGTAGTTAGTTTAAAAACAAAATGAATTTTCAAACCCTGCTGTAATCCGTGCTGTATAAAATGCCATATGTTTCCACTAGCATATATAATTTTATTCAGAACTTCTGCATTATTAAGAATTATTTTCTCTTAAACAATAAACTTATATAAAAATAAAATAGTCAAATGAGAATTTATATTGTTCAAAAATATCACAGATATTTTATATTTATTAAACAATTATTAACCTTTCTATAAATAACAAACAAATAAACCAGTAAAATATAAAAAAATAGTGTATCTCTTAGTATATAAATTTAAATATGACTTACTTTATGTACATATAAAATATCACATATTAAAATAACATATATAATTAAATTATTAATTTATCGCCTGTTTCATGGTATCTACTAACGAAAACCAACATTTTTGTAACTCCTTATATTTGAGTGCAAAATGCCACAAAAATCTGTCCTGCATCTCCATGTACGAGACGAATTGCTTATGTGTAAACTGGATATGTTTTTCCAATTGGGCATTCATCGCAAGATCATACAATTTCCCAGCAAGTCCAATTATAATATTAAACTGAATTAACCATTCTTCTTTTTTCAACTTCATATCTTCATTTTTCTCTTCGCTGACGTCATCAGTAATTACGTTCTTATAACGTCGAAACATTGTCGCAATAGTATCCATTTCATCAACGAACACTTCCCATACTTTAGTTTCGTACTTAATCCTCTTGGTCAGCCAGGATCCATCGTTCTTGAATACAATTGCTTTACAGCAACTTTTCGTTTTAGCAGCTCTCGAAATAACAGCATCCAAATCTTTGATAATACGTCTTTGGGTAACCTCATCATTCCGGAGTGTTAGTTGCAAGTCAATCTTGAGTTGGGACAAATAGAACTTCGACATTAAAGCGTCCATTTTTTTACGTAATAACAGATTTGACATTTCACTCAATTGTATATTGTATATATTTTCACAAAAATTACTGAAACTGACCTATACTTTATAAAATCTGTACTCAGCTGGTAAATTATAGTGCAAAGCTTTGCTACTTTGTTTTTTTTTCTGCGCATGGCAACACGTCGACAATATTGGCCATTTTTACAATGGAAACAGCAAACGTGGCTAATTATTATTTTTTTTCATTCCATATTTACAAGTAAAAAATCTTTTATTAGGTTCAAATGCATTTAATAAATTTACTTCACATTAGATGGTTTTTTAAAGTATATGACATAAAATAACTAACCTATCTTTTTTACTCAATTTTACAACACTTGGAAAATTTCTTTGATTACATCATTCATTTAATGTAATTACAAATATGTAATCCTCGGAAATGTGGACACATTATACAGTCTCAGTATCAACTAATACTATGTTCTTCATAGTCACTAAGACTAACTATAATTAGAAAATAATTGCCTACTGACTGATTTATTCATTGGAGATTACATTATCATTAGTTTTAAGTAAATTCTCGAATGGTCGTTATATAATATTTAATATAGCAAATACAACATTGATAATGTTGTATTGCAATTATGTTAGCACAACATATTTGCGGGTAATTGGTTCCAAGTTAACAAAATCCAGGGTCGACTCAAGTTTCTTTATATAGGTATCAGAATAACCGCTGAAGTGTTCTTTTCTCAATTACTTTCCGGATTCTGTTCGATTAAGGACAGTGGCTTAAGTTTACCTGTCTACACTTCTTTACAATAGCAGTGAAAAGATGGCCCAACAAGGATCCGGTACTCCTCCCACTAATTCTAGGCACAGGAGAAATCTGACCAAGGACCAACCAGATCCATACAAAGCAATAAACGACAATTAGATGACTCAAGAAGTTAAGCCTGATTTTCTTCAGCTCACCCTAAGAGACTCACACCATCAAGTACCGAAGGGATTGGAGAAAGAACTTTCGGAATTCGAAGGTAAAGCCAAATGGCGTAAGTTATCGGTCTTAATGAACATCAGGTCGACTAACAGATGACCTAAAGATGTTTAATAGCGTAGAGGAAAGATTTGAGGACTAATGTCAATAAATTATAACCTAAATCTCAGGTACTATAAGAATAACCAATAATGAATTGAATATCTTCTATGCATTTCATTTTATTCTTCGTCAAAACCGCTGGATCGACAAATACTACGAGGAAACTTTGCAACAATTGTTTTAAACAAATATGAAATAAATATCCTTTTTTATATATTTCAATAATTCACAACTTGCCAACCTTTTTGGCAATAAGTAAAATTTTATTTGGCCATAGACAAAAAAAAGAAAATTAAAACAGAAAAACAAAATAACAAGCGTGGAGCGGAACGATTTCCCATCGAAACCTTCCAAAAAATAAATATAAATTTAACTAAAAAAATAATTCAATAACAAAAGCAATTTAACTAAAAAATAATTTTGACAACACTAAATAACTTAAAAGATAATCATTCTACAGCACAAGAAAACGAACTTTGACACCGGCTTCAGCACTGACTTATAGATAAGTAGTTTGTTGTCGAGGTACAATGGAGATCTTCTGCCGATCAGTCAGTAGAATTTCGCGAACTTGATGCCCATTTGCTTCCTTTTAGTTGCGATGTGCTTCTTCATCTGTGCTACTTTGTCTACATATTTACATATTTTATGATTTTAAAAGAGGCTGGAGGAGGGATGCGCGCCTACCAATGACAACTTGCAGCTACCGGCCGGAAACGGGGAAAACCACGCCTAGCCATATTGTCACGAGTTAAGGGTTTCAACCCCCATATCTGCAAGGGCTCCTCCCTTTGCAAAAAACCGTACATTAGTTCACCATAGTCGATGGATGGTTCCAGCTAAAAAGGAAAGATGCAGAGGAATCCCATTCGAATGGAACATCCTAATTAGCCTGAGAGTCTCTTTTAAACAATGACCATTTCGAATCCAGGTAGATAGGTGTTACAAAGATGCCATGCTATGAATTAAAAAAAGTTGTATTTCTTAACGTTTCATTTACAATTATTACGTTAATTCCTCGCTAGAATACGAGTTTTGGTAAACTTCATCCTAAAAAAAACATACTAATATTATTTATTATTTTATGTGTTCTGAAATACTCACGCTTATATAGATTTGTTTTTATTTTTTTTAAATAAATGTTTGGTAGGATTGATAAAAGGAATAATTTGTTAATTAATAAAAAAAAAAGGCAAATGTTATTTAATATTTCGTCAGATTATGTAATAATAAGGATAGAAAACATGGTTTTGTATTATACAGTAATATTATTCGCAGGTCTTGATTCTTCCCTCTATAATATACTGCACGGGGACTTAGTGTATTCGCATGCAGTCGGTCTTTCGTTCACTGCATCTAGGAAAGCAATTAATCTTTTTATAATTATGATCTTAAGAAGTAACAAAATAAAAAACTTACTTTCGATTGTCCAATCGTTAATCCGAGTTAAAATTTTCTCACGTATTGCATTCGAAGCGATTGCTTGAAATAAAAAATACACATGAATTGGTGCGATGTAGACCGTGGATATATTTCAAATATATATTTTTTTTACTTAAATTATGTAAACTTTGGTAATTTTGGTACTTACAATCAGATGTAGCTCCTTCTTTCTTCTGAAATAAAAATAATTAATATATTGTTTTTCTCTTTAATAAAACGTTAAGTCAGATCTTATTAATATAATACCTGTAGTACTTCCATATCCACTTTATGTGCCCTGCTTGGTACTGATTTTCCTGCATCTGAGGAATGTATTTTTTTAGAAATTTTATCAGGAAAGCAATTTGTAAAACAGATTTACCCTCAATAAGGAATGCTTCATTCATCTTCTCGAAAGACATGTTTGATACTGGAAACAAAATGAATAATAATAATGAATTATAATTTATAGAAGCTAAATTATGCAAAATAATTAAAAAAAAGGTAATTTAATTTAAGAAATCTTGAAATCTCTCTATTTTCAATAAAATTACTTTTTTTTTCTAAAAATTGCACAAGTAATCAAGTACCGCTTAATGTGCAAATGCATATTTGACAAGTAAATGTACTTAATACATTACTTGACAAGTAACAAGATATTGCAAAATGCTATTATATAAGTTTTGTAATTTAGTATTTAAAAATTGCGATTTTATTAGAATCTATTATTTTAATTACTATCAATAACACACACAAAGATTATTAAAATCTGTCAATGTTTTCATTACGATCAAGATTTAGTTAAAATGTTAATTGATATTAGGCCTTTTGAAATATTTGTGAAGTTGGTACAACGGTTAAATAACGATAAACAAAAACACTTGGACGCAAGAAAATATTTAAGATTTCGTACAAAATTGGGTACTATTAATTACGTTAAAATGAAATCAATATACAGCAATACCTCACATAGTCCGGTTACAATTATTCAGACCAAAATAAAAATATATTCTAAATTAAAAACATGATAATTTTTTTAATATATAATAGATATTCTTTATGCAGTTTTCAAATCCTCGGTTTGTTTGGTTTAAAAATATTCTGGCGGAACAGATAAGACTGTACTAGGTATTGCTGTATTGAGACTAGTTTTTGGTAAACTTACAATCAGATGTAGCTCCTTCTTTCTTCTGAAATAATAACAAAAAAAATAATTAATATATTGTTTTTCTCTTTAATAAAACGTTAAGTCAGATCTTATTATTACAATAATACCTCTAGTACTTCCATATCTACTTTATGACCCCTGCTTGGTACCGATTTTCCTGCATCTGAGGATTGTATTTTTTTAGTAATTTTATCAGGAAAGCAATTTGTAAAACAAACTTACCCTCAATAAGGAAGTGTTCATTCATCTTCTGGAAAGACTTGTTTGATACTGAAAACGAAATTAATAATAATAATGAATTATAATTTGTGGAAACAAAAAAAAATGGTAATTTTATTTAAGAACACTTGAAATCTCTTTATTTTCAATGAAATGACTTTTTTTCTAAAAATCGCACAAGTAATCAAGTGTCGCTTAATGTGCAAATCCATATTTAACAAGTAAATGTACTTGACACAGTTAAAACTCGTTTCATTAATTAATAAATTAAAATGGAAATTCTGATTGAAATTAGGCCTTTTCAAAGGTTTGCGAAGTTGAAACGACTATTAAATAATGATAAACCAAAAATAATAATTCGGCAGCAAGAAAAGATTCAAGATTTCGTACAAAATTACGTTAAAATGAAATCAATATACAGATTAACAAGTTTAATCCGTTCCAAAATTTCCGGATTTTTACTCGTATAGTGAAATACTCGTATGTTTTTAATATATAATAGATATTCTTTATGCAGCATTCAAATCAAACGAACAGATAAGACGGACTCGTTCTTGGTAAACTTACAATCAGATGTAGCTCCTTCTTTGTTCTGAAATAATAAAAATAATTAATATATTGTTTTTCTCTTTAATAAAACGTTAAGTCAGATCTTATTATTATTATAATACCTGTGGTTCTTCCATGTCTATTTTATGTGTCCTGCTTGGCACCGATTTTCCTGCATCTGAGGATTGTATTTTTTTTTAGAAATTTTATGAGGAATGTAATTTGTAAAACAGACTTACCCTCAATAAGGAAGTCATCATTCATCTTCCGGAAAGACTTGTTTGATACTGGAAACGAAATGAATAATAATGAATTATAATTTGTAGAAGCTAAATTACGCAAAATAATTTAAAAAAATGTTAATTTTATTTAAGAACACTTGAAATCTCTCTATTTTCAATAAAATTACTTTTTTTACTAAAAATTGCACAAGTAATCAAGTACTGCTTAGTGCGCAAATACGTATTTGGCAACTGCTTCTGTAGGTGTTTTTCAACAAGTAAATGTACTTGATACATTACTTGACAAGTAACAAGCTTTGGGATATTGCTTTATTTAAGTTGTAATTTAGTATTTAAAAATTGCTATTTTATTAAAATCTGCTATTTTAATTACTTTCAACAAAATCTGTTAATGTTTTCATTACGATCAAGATTAAGTTAAAACTCGTATTTTCATTAATTAATAAATTAAAATGGAAATGTTAATTGAAATTAGGCCTTTTGAAAGATTTGCGAAGTTGGAACGACGGTTAAATAATGATAAACACAAACATTCGGAAGAAGGAAAAGATTCAAGATTTCGTACAAAATTAGGTACTATTAATTACGTTAAAATGAAATCAATATACAGCATTACCTCACATAGTCCAGTTTCGATAATTCCGACTAAAATAAATGCAAAAAATTATATTTTTTTAATACTCTATACGGTTTCCAAATGCTCGATTTATTCGGTTTAAAAATATTCCGGCGGAACAGATTAGACGGACTATACTAGGTATTTCTGTATTGAGACTCGTTTTTGGTAAACTTACAATTAGATGTGGCTTCTCCTTTCTTCTGAAATAATAACAAAAAAAAATAATTAATATATATTTTTTTCTCTTTAATATAACGTTAAATCAGATGTTATTATTATAATACCTGTAGATCTACTTTCGGTGTTCTGCTTACTACAGATTTGTCTGCACCTGAGGATTGTATTTTTTTTTTAGAAATTTTATCAGGAAAGTAATTTATAAAACAGACTTACAATCAGAAAAGAATGCTTCCTTAATCTCCTCCAAAAACATTTTTGTTACTGGAAACGAAATAAATAATGAATTATAATTTATAGAAGCTAAATTATGTAAAATAATTTAAAAAAAGTAGTTTAATTTAAGAAAACTTCAAATCTCTATATTTTCAATGAAATTACTTTTTTTTTCTAAAAATTATACAAGTGCCGCTTAATGTGCAAAGTAAACAAGGTACAGCGGTACAGATTAGACGGACTGTACTAGGTATTGAGACTTGTTTTTGGTAAACTTACAGTTAGATAAGTCTTCTTCTCTCTTCTGAAATAATAACAATAAAAATAATTAATATATATTTTTCTCTTTAATAAAACGTTAAGTAAGATCTTATTATAATAATACCTTTTGTAATTCTAGATCGGCCTTCTGTGTGCAGCTTAGTACCGATTTTTCTGCACCTGAAAATTGTTTTTTTTTTTAGAAATTTTACCAGAAAGTCAATTTGTAAAACATACTTACCCTCAATAAGTAAGTCTTCGTTCATTTTATCAAGAGATATATTTGACACTGGAAACGAAAAGAATAATAAATATAATTTGTAAAAGCTAAAATACGCAAAATAATTTAAAAAAATTATAATTTAATTTAAGAAAAATTAAAATTAAAGAAATCTCTCTATTTTCATTAAAATTTCTCTTTTTCTAAAAATCGCACAACTAATTTATCAAGTAAAGCTTAATGTGCAAATGCGTATTTGGCAAATGAGTATCGATGTGAGTATTTCAATAAGAAAATGTACTTGACACATTACTTGACAAGTAACAAGCTTTGAATATTGAAAATTGTTATTATATAAGTTTTTTAATTTAGTATTTAAAAATTGTGATTTTATGAAAATCTCCTATTTTAATTACTTTCAACAACGCACACAAAGATTATTAAAATCTGTTAATGTTTTCATTGCGATCAAGATTTAGTTAAAACTCGTATTTTCGTTAATTAATAAATTAAAATGGAAATGTTAATTGCAATTAGGCCTTTTAAAAGGTTTGTGAAGTTGGAACGACGATTAAATAATGATAAAAAAAACATTTGGAAGCAAGAAAAGATTCAAGATTTCGTATAAGATTATGTTCTAATAATTACGTTAAAATGAAATCAATATACAGCAATACCTCACATAGTCCGGTTACAATCATTCCGACCAAAATAAAAATAAATTCTAAATTAAAAACATGATTTTTTTTAATATATAATATATATTCTTTATGCAGTTTTCAAATTCTCGGTTTGTTCGGTTTAAAAATATTCTGGCGGAATAGATAAGACGGACTGTACTAGGTATTGCTGTATTGAGACTAGTTTTTGGTAAACTTACAATCAGATGTAGTTCCTTCTTTCTTCTGAAATAATAACAATAAAAATAATTAATATATTGTTTTCTCTCTAATAAAACGTTAAGTCAGATCTTATTATAATAATACCTGTTGTAATTCAAGATCAGCCTTCTGTGTGCTGCTTGGTACCGATTTTCCTGCACCTGAAAATTGTTTTTTTTTAGAAATTTTATCCGGAAAGCAATTTGTAAAACAGACTTACCCTCA